AAGAGTTGCAGTTGTGGCGTTGTGGAGAGGGAGAACAGCATACGAATACCTCAAACACAACAGCAAACTTTGGCAGAAAAATGTCTCCGCATGTTTTTGGACATTTATGGAATTCTGTCATCCAGAATACCTGGAAAAAAACCCCCCATGTTGCTTTTCTCCAACTTTGAAAAAAAGGGGTTGTGGGAAGAAGAGCCTTGATAGTACAGTGGTCTAAGCACCCTGTTATTAACACAGCTGCCTGCAATTTACTGCTGGTTCGAATCTCTCCAAGGCTCAAGGTTGACTCAGCCTTCTATCCTTTCTAAGGTAGGTGAAATGAGGACCCAGTTTGTGGGGGCAATAAGCTGACTTTGTATAAATATACAAAAGGATGAAGGCTATTGCTTAACGCATTGTAAGCCGCCCTGAGTCTCCGGAGAAGGGCGGCATATAAATCAAATAAAAAAAAAAAAGAAAAAAGAAAGAAATATCCATCTGGTTCAGTTCCAAGCTAGGAGAAAGACACTGGAAATTTGGAGGCTGATTGGAAAAGTGGTGAAGCAGAAACACATGTGATTCTTGGCTGCTGACCAAATGAGTTGAGAGTTCGGGGCGGTGTTTATACCTTCTTTTGAGCTTTGCACTTGAGCTTCCTGTTCCTGTGCAAAAACATGTATTCTATTGGCTGTTGTCAGATACCTGTGGGGTCATGTAGGGGTCATAGCTGGCTCTATAGGCAAAAGGGGAAATGCAAATGCTTTGCATTGTCCGAGCTTGTCTGAGCTAATCTGGTTAACCTCTGGTTTATTGTTTATCTGAGCTCTCAGGTGAAGTTTGGACTGCTCTGGGAGACATGCAATGAACGGGCTTATGTTCTGAAAGGGTGTTGGGCAATTCCTATTGTGGTTTAATGGCTTTGTCCTGGTTTGGATCTTGAGTGAGGGGGTTACTTCTAATCCTACCATTCTGCCTTTGTTTAGACTTTACTGCAGGGAGTTTCAAAATAGCCTGCCTTGAACGGATGGCCAAATCTGTATTTCTAAAAGGTGCCTCCTCAGTTTTTGCTTGGGGGCAGGGAGACTGGGGCTGCTTCCTGACTCTAAAAAAACATGTTTCTCCATTTCTCATCTAGGGAAATATAATATTCTGCCTTTTAAAAATATTCCTCAAAATATTTCATTCTTCGGGGGAAGGGGGAAAGGCTTTACATAGGGTGAAGACTTCAAGTTAGCTCTTGATAACTTCATGGACAGATCTCTCTGCTGTAGGCAGAATAACAGAGTGGGAAGGGACCTTGGAGGTCTTCTAATCCAACTCCCTGCAGGTAGTCCTTGATTTATGACCACGATTGAGCCCCAAATTGCCATTGCTAAGCGAGACAGTTGCTACGTGAGTTTTGTCCCATTGTACGACTTTTCTTGCTACAGTTGTTAAGTGAACCATTGCCCTTCTTGAGTCAGTAACCCAGTTGTTAAGTGAATCTCGCTTCCCCATTGACAAGGTCGCAAGAGGGGACCTATCACATGATCCAGGGACCCTGCCACTGTCACGAATCCTTTTGCTAAGCATCCAAATTTTGATCACGTGACTGTGGGGAATGTGTGCAATGATCATAAGTGTGGAAAAGGGTCATAGATCACTTTTTTCAGTGCTATTTCAAATGGTTATTAAATGAACAGTTGTAAGCCTGTAATTTGCCCAGGTCCAGGGGTGAAATCCAGCAGGTTCTGACAGGTTCTGGAGAACTGGTAGCAGAAATTTTGAGTAGTTCAGAGAACCAGTAAATAGCACCTCTGGCTGGCCCCAGAGTGGGGTGGGAATGGAGATTTTGCAATATCCTTCCCCCAGGAGAGGGGAGGGAATGGGTATTTTGCAGTATCCTTCTCCTGGAGTGGGGTGGGAATGGAGATTTTGCAGTATCCTTCCCCTGCCATGCCCACCAAGCCACGCCCACCAAGCCACACCACGCCCACCAAACCACGCCCACAGAACCAATAGTAAAAAAATTTGGATTTCACTACTGCCCAGGTCATAAAAAAGGAGACCTTTCCTATGTTTGGTTAAGGCAAATTGGAGAGCAATTGAATGGATGAACTGGTCACATTAAACACTGTATAATCAACGTGATTGAGACATGTTCCTGTGTGTCTCTGTCCTTGTACAACCCCTGTCAGCATCCTGGTCCCCAAAAATGGCCAGTCAGAGAAGGATGAAGCAGGATTTACTTCTTACAATCTTCTCTTGGCTGTTCTTAGAAGCTGGGCAGTCACCCTGGGCAATTAAAATAAAAAAAGACTCTAGAAATGTTGAGACTCTAGAAAGAGTGCAGAGAAGAGCAACCAAGATGATTAGGGGACTGGAGGCTAAAATATTTGAAGAACGGTTGCAGGAACTGGGCATGGCTAGTCTAGTGGAGAGAAGGACCAGGGGAGACATGAGAGCAGTCTTCCAATATCTGAGGGGCTGCCACAGAGAGGAGGGGATCAAGCTATTTCCAAAGCACCTGAAGGCCAGACAAGGAACAATGGATGGAAACTGATCAAGGAGAGATTCAATCTGGAAATAAGAAGAGATTTTCTGACAGTGAGAACAACCAACCAATGGAACGGAAGTTGCCTTTGGAAGTTGTGGGAGCTTCATCACTGGAAGCTTTCAAGAAAAGACTGGATGGACATCTGTCAGTAATGGTGTAAGGTAGGGGTGTCAAACTCAAGGCCTGTGGGCCAAATCCGTCCTGTGGGATGCTTAGATCTGGCACGCAGGGCCACCGTGGAAACAGCAATGGATCAGCCCGTGGTGCCTCTACCAGAAAAAATGGAGCTCAGGGGGCCCACATGCACCCTACCGAGGAAGGAAGGAAGGAAGGAAGGAGGTTATAATGATAGTGAGGGAGGGTCTGAGGGAAGTCCTGCCTTAGCACCTGGCCACCACAGGTGCCCCCAACACAAGTGACATTGAGCTGGCCATACCCACCCCAGCCATGCCCACCTCAGCCCTCTGAGGTCAAATACAACCCTGATGCGACCCTCAATGAAATTGACTAGATGACCTACAAGATCCCTTTTAATTCTGTTGTTCTGTTAATCAATTACATGGATACAGCCTCAGCAGGAAATGTATATGTATAGATGTATATTCACATGTATACAATTTATGTGTGTGTGCAAGTGTATTTGTGATGCTTTATTTAAGCTAAGTTTGTACATCAGTGATTGTATGACTGCTGTAAATGCCATACGCTAAATAAGCAAATCAATAAGAGTCTCTAAATCCCCCTAGCAATGTCAACATAGTAATAGTGATAATGATACTGCTCAATTTTGTCATCCAAGAAGTCACTAGGAAGGATGAAGGAGATGGGAATGAGAGGAAGAGAAGGGAAGGGAAAGAAGAATAACAGAGGGAAGGAAGGAAGAAAGAAGGAAGGAAGGAAGGAAGGAGATGGAAAGGTGAACCCATCCAAGACCGAGTGGCTGTGGTTTCTGACGTCCCGATATAGCCAGTTGACGCCATCACTGACTATTGGGGGCGAATCATTGGCCCCCACGGAGAGGGCTCGCAACTTGGGCGTCCTCCTGGATTCACGGCTGTCTTTAGAAGAGCACTTGACGGCCGTGACCGGGAGGATTTTTTATCAGGTCCGCCTGATTCGCCAGTTGCGTCCCTTTCTGGATCGGGACTCGTTACGCACGGTCACTCATGCCCTCGTCACCTCCCGCCTGGACTATTGTAATGCTCTCTACATGGGGCTCCCCTTGAGGAGCACCCGGAGGCTCCAACTGGCGCAGAGTGCGGCCGCGCGGGTGGCAATGGGAGCGACATGGCGCTCCCATGTAACACCTCTCCTGCGCGAGCTGCACTGGCTCACGGTGGTCTTCCGGGTGCGCTTCAAGGTTTTGGTTACCACCTTTAAAGCGCTCCATGGCTTAGGGCCTGGTTATTTACGGGACCGCCTACTACCACCAATAGCCTCCCACCGGCCAGTACGCTCTCATAGAGAGGGACTCCTCCGGGTGCAGTCAGCCAAACAGTGTCGACTGGCGGCCCCTAGGGGGAGAGCCTTCTCTGTGGGGGCACCTACCATCTGGAATGAGCTCCCCCCGGAGATACGGAGGATCCCGGATCTGCGCTCCTTCCGCCGTGCTGTGAAGACCTTTTTATTCCATCAAGCGGGCTTGGCCTGATCTCTTCCCTTTTTAAATACGTAAATTTTAATCTGTTTTTAAATTATTGGGGTATTTTAATTTGTCTGGGCCAAATAATTTAATTTGATTTTATCGGGTTTTTAAATTTTGTGTATTTATGTATTTTATTGTTGGCTGTTCACCACCCTGAGTCCTTCGGGAGTAGGGCGGTATACAAATCAAATAAACTAAACTAAACTAACTAAACTGAAGAAGGAAGGGAAGGGGAGGGAGGGGAAGGAGAGGGAGAAAAGCAGATGGATGGATGGATGCAGGGGTGAAATTCAACCGGTTTGGACCAGCTCGAGCGAACCGGTAGGGACGATTTGAATTGGTTCGCCGAACCGGTAAAAACCACCCCTGGTTGGCCGCGCCCATGCCTGCTCGCTTGTCTGGTCACCGCTCACACCTTCTGGCCGCTTGCCCCATTCAACGTTAAATGCTGCAGCAGAGAGAATCTAAACTTTTCTCCCTCCATTCACAGCGGAGCTGCTGCAGCCTGTCCCTTTAAGGTAGTTCCCGGGAGGGAGGGGGCCAGGGGGGAACCATAACGGGAGCAGCAGCTCCACTGTGAATGGAGGGAGAAAAGTGCAGATTCTCTCTGCCACAACATTCACTATGAGCCCTGCTGGTGCTCATATATACATTTTTTCCTACCGGGTTCTGTGGGCGTGGCTTGGTGGTGGGGTCATGTGACTGAGTGGGCATGGCTGTGAGTGACATCGAGTTGGCCACACCCACTCAGTCACAGGACCCCCCCCACTAAGCCACACCCACAGAACCGGTAGGGGAAAAAAAATGAAGTCACCACTGGATGGATGGATGGAAGGAAGGAAGGAAGGAAGAAAGAAAAAGAGGGAGATGGGGAAAAAGGAAAGGAAGGGAAGGGAAGGAATAATGCTAAACTCTGCTTTATTTCCAATACATTTAATTTAATCAAACTACCAATTTTTATGGAATTTATGCTCCAAACTGCCTGAAGCTACAAAGTGTATAAGATACGTGGGAAAGCATTAAACCATTCCGCATCCTGTTCTGAGTAACTAGATTGTATTTAAAGTCCCACATTCTGCCATTGTATGATGATCTCATAAAAGATGTGAGATCCATGGAGGCCCCATCTCGATCCACTGGTATTCTCCCACCTGTGGGGCCACCCCAGTCACATTTTATTGAATATTTTTGATGAGCAGCACCTCACGTATTAGGACCAAGTTCTCACTTCTCTGTGTCTACCTTCCGGCCAAGCAATTTATTCAGGGCCCGTTTCATATCTTCGTTCCTTAAAGTATAGATAATGGGGTTGAGCAACGGTGTCACCGCGGTGAAGAAGACCGAGACCACTTTGTCCTCTGCAAAACTTGTGGAAGGACGGGAATAAATGAAGATGCAGTGTCCCAGGAAGAGAGTCACCACTGTCAAATGCGCTGCGCACGTGGAAAGAGCCTTGTGCTGACCTGCCACCAAACGGGTACGAAGGGAGACCAAGATGACACCGTAGGAGACTACCAGCACCACGAAGCAGACCACGGAGATCAGGCCCGAGTTGGACACAATCAGGACCTCAATGACATACGTGTCAGTACAGGCAAGCTTGATGACCGGAGGAACATCACAGAAGAAGTTGTCCACCACCTTCGGGCCACAGTAGGGGAGTCTGATTGTCATGCCAATCAAAGCAAGGGAATGGATGATGCCACCAACCCAGATGGTGCCCGCCAAGAGCAGACAGACCTTATGGTTCATGATGTTGAGATAGTGCATGGGATTGCAGATGGCCACATAGCGATCGTAGGCCATGACGGTGAGGAGAAAGATCTCGGTGCAGGCAAAGAGGTGAAGGAAGAACATCTGAGCAATGCAACCTCCAAACGAGATGGTCTTCTCGGCTGACAGGAAATCAGCCAGCATCTTGGGCACAGTGACAGTGGAGTGGCAGATATCAATGAAAGAGAGGTTGCTCAAGAAGAAATACATGGGAGTGTGGAGGTTCTGGTCCAACACGATGGTGATCATGATGAGCATGTTCCCAGCCAAAATCAGCAGGTAGATCACCAGGAAGATGGCAAACAGAACCTGTTGGGTCTCAGGATTGTTGGAAAGGCCAACCAGTACGAATTCAGTCACCGAGGTCCAGTTCTGTATCGGGGTGGTCCAATTGGAAGCCATCTCTTCATCGATTTCTGTTCTGGAGAAAAGAGAAAATAATACCTTGTATTATTTTGCCTTGAAAAAAAAATGAAGGTGACCAACTCACAGATCTACAGGCTTCACATCACAAAGGTAGCAAGCTCTGCAACCCAACAAGACAGACACAGACTTCAGAGGATAATTAGAATTGCAGAAAAAACAGTGGCTACCAACCTGCCTTCCATGGAGGACCTGTATACTGCAGGAGTCAAAAAGAGGGCTGTGAAAATATTTACAGACCCCTCACATCCTGGACATAAACTGTTTCAACTCCTACCCTCAAAATGACACTATAGAGCACTGCACATCAGAACAACTAGACACAAGAACAATTTTTTCCCGAACGCCATCACTCTGCTAAACAAATAATTCCCTCAACACTGTCAAACTAGTTACTAAGTCTACACTACTATTAATCTTCTCATCATTCCCACCACCCATCTCCTTCCACTTATGACTGTATGACTGTAACTTTGTTGCTGGTATCCTTACGATTTATATTGATATTGTTCCTGATTGCTTATTTGTATCCTATGACTATCATTAAGTGTTGTACCTTATGATTCTTGATGAACGTATCTTCCTTTATGTACACTGTAGAGCCTGAGTGGCGTAGGAGACTAATGCCTCCTACTAATGCAGCATTTAACATCCAGCTGCCTGCAATTATTGCGAGTTCAATTCTCACCAGGCTCAAGGTCGACTCAGCCTTCCATCCTTTCTAAGGTGGGTAAAATGAGGACCCAGTTTGTGGGGGCAATAAGCTGACTTTGTATAAAATATTCAGAAGTATGAAGGTTATTGCTTAATGCATTGTAAGCCGCCCTGAGTCTCCGGAGAAGGGCGGCATATAAAAATAAAAAATAAAAAAATAAAAAAAAAAATATGCACCAAGACAAATTCCTTGTGTGTCCAATCACACATAAAAAATTCTATTCTATTCTATTCTATTCTATTCTATTCTATTCTATTCTATTCTATTCTATTCTATTCTATTCTATTCTATTCTATTCAGTGAGACAGGAAAATGCGATTTACCAAGTCCAACGAAATATCTGTGGAGATTCTCAGTCATCCACATAGACTTTTTCAAGAGGCAACTGGACTTTCTCAGGTTTTTTTTCTTTGAAGACATTTCGCTTCTCATGGATGGTGGGGAATGGAAGGATTTATACTCCTTGCAGACAGCTGGTTATTTATTTATTTATTTGTTTGTTTGTTTATTTATTTATTTATTGGTTCGATTTATATGCCGCCCTTCTCTGGAGACTCAGGGCAGCTTACGATGCATTAAGCAATAGCCTTCATACTTTTGTATATACCTGCTTAGTAGGGCTTTCGCCCTCCCCCCCAAGCGGTGTTCTTTTTTTTAATACAAAGTCACCTTATTTCCCCCACAAACCGGGTCCTCATTTTACCTACCTCGAAAGGATGGAAGGCTGAGTCAACCTTGAGCCTGGTGAGATTTGAACTTGCAGTAATTGCAGGCAGCTGGTGTTACTTAACAGTACTTTAGTCTGCTGCGCCACCAAGGCTCATTTGCATTCTTTTAGAGCAGGGGTGTCAAACTCAAGGCCCCGAGGGCCCGATCCGGCCCACTGGGTGCTTAGAGCTGGTCCATGGGGCCTCCCTGGGAACAGCGAAGGACCGGCCTGTGGGTGCCTCTGCCAGCAAAAATGGAGCTCGTTCAGGCTGTGTGCAACCCTCCCGAGCTCCGTTTTTGGCTACGACGGCCTTCTGCAACTCTCCCCAGCGAACTCTCCTCAGCGAAAACAGAGCTCGGTTTTCGCTGGCAGAGCGCTTGGGCCACCACAGGTGCCTCCGACACGAGTGACATCAAGCTAGCCACGCCCACCCTGGCCACACCCACCCGGCCATCCCAAGGTCAAACACAGCCCTGATGTGGCCCTCAATGAAATCGAATTCATTGACACCCCTGTTTTAGAGAGTCATTGAGGCCACCTGGAGGTTGCTCTGCGTCCTCAGGGACACTTCATAAATACATGGCCCAATGTAGGAGAAAATGGGTTTCATCAGGACTAGATTCAGCAACCCATCTGCATTTAAAAGACAAAGGCCACTCTTTTGAAGACAGCAAAGTCCACATTTTCGACAGAGAGGTCCGCTGGTATGAAAGAGGAGTCAAAGAGGCCATCTAGGTCAAAACTGAACAGCCCTCTCTCAACAGAGGGGCAGGGATACCATATCATCTATCTCCAGTCTACAACACAGTCCTTTCAACAGTTCCAAGAAAGCTCCACACCAGCTGTGAAATCTGAAGCGGTTTGCTACCGGTTCTCTGGCCGCGCATGTGCGCTGCGTGCCAAATGCATGCTACATGCACATGCGCGGTACACACCAAGCACACACCGTGGTGTGCGCGCACGCGTGTGCAGTACGCGCCGAAAGGAGGCTTGGGAAGGTAAGTAGAACAGCGAGGCGGGGGGGGGGGGGGAAATCAGCTCAATGGTGAAATGTAAAATTTGTTACTACCGGTTCTGTGGGCGTGGCTTGGTGGGGGGTAATGTGACTGGGTGGGCGTGGCCAACTTTTTTTTTTTTTTTAAAGTTAGCCATCACTGTCCTATAATGTCAGGTAGACCATTTAGATTCTCAAGTCGAACCTTTTTTTTTTTTTAAATTTGATTTATAGGCCGCCCTTCTCCGGAGACTCAGGGCGGCTTACAGTGCGTTAAGCAATAGCCTTTATACTTTTGTATATTTATACAAAGTCAGCTTATTGCCCCCACAAACTGGGTCCTCATTTCACCTACCTTAGAAAGGATGGAAGGCTGAGTCGACCTTGAGCCTGGCGAGATTCGATCTTACTTTAATTGCAGACAGCTGGTGTTAAATTACAGTGCTTCTGTCTGTTGAGCTACCCAGGCCCTTCTTTTCCGTGTAAAAATCCTAATTGAAGCATCTGGATAAATGGCCGTCCCTCTGCTTACTTATACTCAGCTAAGGAGACCTTTCCATCTTTCTGGGTCATTGGTTCCATTGTCAAACAGGAAGCTTCTTTCAATTTATGAGCATTCAGGCAGTATTCCTCACCTGTCCAGTTCTGGACACTTAAAATAGGTGTGCAGTTCTAGAAATGCAACAACCCAAGGCTGAACCCTGCAGATGTAAACCATTAGTACCCTTTGCTTAATTTGGTGGTCACCTGCATTCTTCCTAATGCTCTTTCAATGGAAAAACTGCTTACAGACACTGCAAATGTATTATGTGTGGGTCTGTATGCAGTGTGACACACAAACACACCCTTCATACCAATGGTCCTTGATTTACAACAGTTCATTTAGTGACTGTTTAGTGGTGCAGTGGCCTAGAGGTGGTGCTCTCGCCTCTCAATCGGGAGGCTGTCAGTTCGATCCTAGGTAGAGGCAGATATTTCTCACTCTGGGCACGATGAGAATATATCTGCTGAATATAACTCAGCATTGGTGACAAGAAAGGCATCCGGCCAGTAAACCGTCAGCTCCATTCAGTTGCCCAAACTCCACCCCACAAGGGATTATGGGGTCATTAAATGAAAAAAAAAATATTAGTGACTGTTTGAAGTTACAATAGCACCGAAAAAATGACTCATGACCATTTTTTCACCTTTACGACCGTTGCTGCATCTCCATGGTCACATGATCAAAGTCCAGACGCTTGGCAATGGACTCATATTTATGATGGTTGCAGTGTCCCGGAGTCACGTGATCCCGCTTTTGCGACCTTCTGATAAGCAAACTCAACGGATTCACTTAACAACCGTGTGACTAATTTAACAACTGCAGGGATTCACTTAACAAGAGTAGCAAGAAAAGTCATCAAACAGGGCGAAACTCACTTAACAAATGCCTCACTTAGCAACAGAAATGTTGGGCTCCATTGTGGTCGTATGTGGAGGACTATCTGTATATTTGCAATATGTCAATATGATCTCTTAAGATGCCGATTAAAGTCAAGAAACCCACCACTCTTGACAGCGCTTAAGCTGCTGGCCGATCATCAGTGGATGGAAGTGTGGAGTAGCTATTCCCCCCCAAGATATTTCTGAGCATATTAATCCTAATAGTATACCTCCAGGATTTAATCTACCCCGACACATATGGGTGACATACAATAGAATTAGAACGACTCATGGGGTGTGTGCCAACTCCTTGTTAAATGGGGAAAGACACCTTCAGCACAATGCAATTGCGGGGGCCCCCGACAGACTATCCAACATATAGTGAGGGAATGCTCTAACAGAAGGTATCCAGATTTTAGGGACTTCCTCTGCGTAACAACGACAGCTACTGACTGGATCTCCAAACTTGACATTAAACTCTGAAATGTTATTTCTGTTTTCCTCTTAGGTTTTCTTACTGCTCTTTTTCTAACTGTTTTAATGGTTTTAACCTGTAAAAATGAAGTGTTTTAATACTGTGTGTGACCGGCCATACGCTAAATAAATAAATAAATGCAATATGTCAGGAAGACAGCTAGGTGGAATCCAAACAATTAATGCCGATGATGTGATTTACTGTGCCCTTCAGAATTCAGAATAACAGAGTTGGAAGGGGCCTTGGAGGTCTTCTAGTCCAACCCCCTGCTCAGGCAGGAGACCCTATATGATTTTAGACAAATGGTCGCCCAGTCCCTTCTTAAAAGCCACTGGTTAATTGTTCTCACTGTCAGGAAATTCCTCCTTATTTCTAGTTTGTTTCTCTCTTTGTTCAGTTTCCATCCGTTGCTTCTTGCCTTGCCATCTGGTGCTTTGGAAAATAAGTTGACCCCATAATGTAACAACATTGTAATGTAACAACATTGCCAAAAAGGCATTAAGAGTTGTTAACCTAATCTTGTGTAGCTTCTTGTACTACTAACTAGAGCATACAAAACATTTGCTAGACCAATTCTTGAATACAGCTCATCTGTCTGGAACCCGCACTGCATATCGGACATTAATACAATCGAGAGAGTCCAGAGATATTTCACGAGACGAGTCCTCCATTCCTCTAACCGCAATAAAGTACCTTATGCCACCAGACTCCAAATTTTGGGCTTAGACAACTTAGAACTACGCCGACTTCAGTCTGACCTAAGCGTAGTACATAAAATTATCTGCCACAATGTCCTTCCGGTCAATGACTACTTCAGCTTCAACCACAACAATACACGAGCAAATAATAGATACAAACTCAAGGTAAACCGCTCCAAACACAATTGCAGAAAATATGACTTCAGTAACAGAGTGGTCAATGCCTGGAATACAGTACCCGACTCTGTGGTTTCTTCCCCAAACCCCCAAAACTTTAACCTTAAACTGTCCACCATTGACCTCACCTCATTCCTAAAATGTCTGTAAGGGGCGTGCATAAATGCACCAGCGTGCCTACCGTCCTTGTCCTAATATTCCTTTTTACTTACTCTTTTCATGTGTTCAAATTATGTCAAATTCATCCAGTTTGCACCGGTTCAAGCGAACTGATTGTTAACAATTGGTTCGCTTGAACCGGTGCAAACCGGATGAATTATACACACACACATACACACACACACATACACACAAAAGCTTTCAAAATGGATCCTGGGTGCTGAGCTTCAATGGAGAAAGAAGAAACAGAGCTGCCGGCCTGAGGGAAGGAGGAAGAACAGGAAAAAGAAAGAGGGAAAGCAGCCTCCCCCTTCCCTCGCGCCGGCCACTCCATTGCCTATTTCTCCATTGCAGCGCAGCGCCCAGGATCCACTTTGAAAGCTTTTGTGTGTATGTGTGTGTGTGTATGTGTGTGTGTATAATTCATCCAGTTTGCACCGGTTCAAGCGAACCGATTGTTAACAATCAGTTCGCTTGAACCGGTGCAAACTGGATGAATCCCACCACTGGTATAGTTGGTACTTTTTGTCGCATGCCTGGGATGAACAAATACTTTCTTCTGCCCCTAAGCAAAAGACAGATATATTGTACTTACTTCGCACCTGGCAAATAAATAAGGATTGCCAGCTTTAAATCTGGCAACTGAAACTCACTGAGAGGAGACCGCAGAATACCTGACTTTGGGGAAAAAAAAACGGGCAAGGGGTTTGGGTTTGTTAAAAAGCTTTCTAGAAATTAACGAATTCATTCATTAAAATAATGAATGAGTGAAAATTCTCTTTCTCTCTCTTATATTGGCAAGAAATCAAATGCTGAGGATGAACAACCCGATCTTTTGCGAAGGCATTATTTCGCAACTAACAAGTTGGAAAACAAGTCTCATCAAGCCGTTTAGTGTAGCAGTTAAGGTGCTAGAAGCCAGGAGATGGTGAATTCTAGTCCTGCTTTAGGCGTGAAAGCCAGCTGGGTGACTTGTGGCCATTCACTTTTCCTCAGCTCAATTTACCTCACAGGATTGTTGTTGTGAGGAAAAAAAGGAGGAGGAAGGGGCATTAGGTACGTTTGCCACCTTGAGTTACTTTTAAAGGGATAAAATGTAATAAGTAATAATAATAATTCTCAGGATGACGAAGAAGCTTTAAAAGTTTACATCTTCTAACTTGTCTGTCTGTCTGTCTGTCTGTCTGTCTAAAGAGATTCTCAGTCATCCAGGCCATGGTTGTCCCAAAGGTGCTTTTTTCAAGAGGCAACTGGACTTTCTGGTTTTTCTCTGAAGACATTTTGTCTCTCACCCAAGAAGCTTCTTCAGAGCTTCTTGGATGAGAAGCAAACGTTTTTCAAAAAAGCTTGGAAAGTTCAGTCTCTCCCCCTCCTTCCCTCCCTCTCTCCCTCTCTCCCCCCTTTCTCTCTCTCTCTGTCGCTCTGTTTCTCTCTCTGTGTTTTTTTCTCTCTCTCTGTGTTTCTCTGTTTCTCTCTATCTCTCTCTCTGTTTCTCTCTCTGTCTCTCCCTCTCTGTCTCTCTCTCTGTTTCTCTCTCTCTCTCTCTCTGTTTCTCTCTCTGTGTTTCTCTGTTTCACTCTCTCTCTCTCTCTGTTTCTCTCTCTGTCTCTCTCACTCTGTTTTTCTCTCTCTCTGTGTTTCTCTCTCTCTGTTTCTCTCTCTCTCTCTGTTTCTCTCTCTGTCTCTCTCTGTTTCTCTCTGTGTGTTTCTCTGTTTTTCTCTCTGTTTCTCTCTCTCTCTGTTTCTCTCTCTCTCTATTTCTCTCTCTCTGTTTCTCTGTCTCTGTTTCTCCCCCTCTCTGTCTTTGACTCTCCCTCTCTTTCTGCTTCTCTCTTTCTCTCTGTTTCTCTCCCTCTGTTTCTCTGTTTCTCTCTCTTTGTCTCTCTCTCTCTCTGTCTCTCTTTTTCTCTCTCTCTGTCTCTCTCTCTTCCTAAATGGAAACGGATTAAAAATGTGAACCACAGGACGAGAATTTATGCATGTCTTTAATAATCCCCTGTTTCACCAATTCTAGAAACAAAGGACCTCTTTTTTCCCCCCTTCCACCACAAAACCATCTCTTTCTCAGGGAAGGTGAAAGAATAAAAGAATATCCACAAAGAATTCAAAGCAAAAATAAGGAAGGTGCTTACGGTAGCTTAGCCGCCAATCCTCTCTCAGTACTAACAGTGCACAGCTCATCACCTCATCCTCATTAACGCTTTTGATGTCAGGTCACTATTGTGAGAACTGAAATCTTTTTTTCTTCCTCATTTTGCATCCTTTTCTCCCTTTAGATTATCCGCTTGAGAGCAGGAATTTACTGCTGCAGCCTGCACACAGTAAAGTTCCTTTTGGAGCGATTTTGGATGAAAGAACATATTTCTTTCCTATAGCGTTCCTTTGAATAGATGCACATTAGACAAATTTCTCCTGTGTTCAATCACACTTGGTCAATAAAGAATTTCTATTTTTTCTTGTTAGCTGCTCTCTCGTGTCAGGATTTGGATTCAGCAAAATAACGTAGCATTTGGGGGAAAAGTTGCAACCCATTATCTCTAAATTGGAGGCCAAAATGGGAAAATCTTCCACAGACACCATATACCTTCCCTTGGTACTCAGGTAAAAAGTAAAGGTAAAGGTTCCCCTCGCACATATGTGCTAGTCGTTCCCGACTCTAGGGGCAGTGCTCATCTCTGTTTCAAAGCCGAAGAGCCAGCACTATCCGAAGGCGTCTCTGTGGTCATGTGGCCGGCATGACTAAATGCCAAAGGTGCACAGAATGCTGTTACCTTCCCACCAAAGGTGGTCCCTATTTTTCTACTTGCATATTTAGGTGCTTTCGAACTGCTAGGTTGGCAGAAGCTGGGACAAGTAACGGGAGCTCACCCCATTACGCGGCACTAGGGATTCGAACCACTGAACTGCCGACCTTTTAATCGACAAGCTCAGCGTTTTAGCCAATGAGCCACCATGTTACTCAGGTAAGTGTGGAACAAAAAACATCGAAACATCGAAAAACAGCAACATGCTGAAGTTAATAAACTTGGCTTCATTAAAATAGCAGGTCTGATTTTTCTGCTCAATTTAATGCTGGCGTTGACCAAACTATTCCCTCCTTCTACCCATTTTTGGAGGCTATCCCCCCGCCCAAAAAGGTATGTTACATTAAAAAAAAAATCCTTGGAGTTGTCTTACAGGCACAAGAACTCAGAATACAATATATATATTTTTTTAAAAGTAGACTAATCAAGGAAACTAATCAAGGAGAGAAGCAATCTAGAACAAAGGAGAAATTTCCTGACAGTGAGAACAATTAATCAGTGGAACAACTTGCCTCCAGAAGATGTGAATGCTCCAACACTGGAAGTTTTTAAGACGATGTTGGATAACCGTTTGTCTGAAGTGGTGTAGGGTTTCCTGCCTAAGCAGGGGGTTGGACTGGAAGACCTCCGAGGTCCCTTCCAACTCCATCATTCTATTCTATTCTATTCTATTCTATTCTATTCTATTCTATTCTATTCTATTCTATTCTATTCTATTCTATTCTATTCTATTTTTATTATTTCTACTTCTATTATTTCTATTTCTAATATTTCTATTTCTATTATTTCTATTCCTATTCCTATTCCTATTCTATGGAAAATTCAACAGAGCTTGAATGGTGTTAAAGTGACATCCATAAGAGCGGGTTTTGACGGTGCATTTATTATCATGGTCCTTATAACGAGTACATGTATTTATTTTTCAGTTCAGCGGTGTTAGAAACACAACATTGCAGAAAAAACAATTGCCACCAACCTGCCTTCCATTGAGGACCTGTATACTCCACGAGTCAAAAAGAGAGCTGTGAAAATATCGACAGACCCCTCGCATCCTGGATATAAACTGTTTCAACTCCTACCCTAAAAATGAAGCTATAGAGCACTGCACGCCTGAACAACAAGACACAAGAACAGTTTTTTCCCAAACGCCATCACTCTGCTAAACAAATAATTCCCTCAACACTGTCAAACTAGTCACTAAGTCTGCATTACTATTAATCTCTTCATCGTTCCTATCACCCATCTCTTCCCACTTACGACTGCATGACTGTAACTTTGTTTCTTGTATCCTTATGATCCATATTGATATTGACGGTTTCCTAGTATGATTTGATTGCTTATTTGTACCCTATGACTATCGCTAAGTGTTGTACCTTATGATTCTTGATGAATGTTATTTTCTTTTATGTACACCGAGAGCATATGCACCAAAGGCAAATTCCTTGTGTGTCCAATCACACCTGGCCAATAAAAAATTCTATTCTATTGTATTCTAAAAAAAAAGATGTTTGCAATTCAACTATTCAACTTCTTCAACTAAGTATATTTTTTTATACTAGAATGAATAAAATAGCATTTACATACCTCGCTGGTGTTTGCAACAATCAGGAGAATTTTATTCTTGGCCAATAAAAATTCTAAGTCTAAGTCTAATCAGACACACAGGAATCCCTACTGTAATGTCTTGGCAATATACATTTCTGCTAAAAAAAGAAAAGAAAAGAAAAGAAAGAAAGGATGCAAATCTCCCTTGTCAACGTTTTCTGCTTTCAGGCAATTGACAGGAAAAAAAGAAAAGAAAACTTACAATTTTGCACCCGTCTGAAGGACAGCTCCTTTTGTTCCCTTGCTTCAGCTCCGTTGAAGTTTCTGAATCACATCTGTAATTTTTTTCCCCCTCTTGCCATATATATATATATTGCCTTTTCTCGCTCTATTTTTTTCTCTTTTTTTGCATCAAGGCAAAGTCTTTTAATGTTGCTTTGTAACTGTCCTTTGCCGACCCTGTAGAGATTACAATCCATGATATCACGTGGTGGTGGTGGTGGGAAAGAGATCATTGGGTGGGGCGACAACTGTTCCAAGATATTTTCGACTTTAGTACAAAAGACGTGAAGCTTTTTCCCTTGACAGGGGAGAGTGGAGTGAATGGGAAGTTCTAAAAAAAAAAATGCGGAAAACATGTTTTTATTTAGCTGGCCTGATGAATGAATTGTGCTCCAGAAAGTGTTTTCCAAATATTTTAGATACAGTTTCTTAACAGAATAGAACAGAACAGAACAGAATGGCATGGCATGGCATGGCATGGCATGGCATGGCATGGCATGGCATGGCATAGCATAGCATAGCATAGCATTGCATAGCATAGCATAGCATAGCACAGAATGGCATGGAATGGAATGGAATGGAACGGAACGGAATGGAATGGCATAGAATAGAATGGCATGGTATGGCATGGCATGGCATGGCATGGCATGGCATAGCATAGCATAGCATAGCATAGCATAGCATAGCATAGAATAGAATAGAATAGAATAGAATAGAGGGAGTAGAATAGAATAGAATAGAATAGAATAGAATAATGGGAGTAGAATAGAATAGAATAGAATAAAGGGAATAGAATAGAATAGAATAGAATAGAATAGAATAGAATAATGGGAGTAGAATAGAATAGAATAGAATGAGTAGAATAGAATAGAATAAAGGGAGTAGAATAGAATAGAATAGAATAGAATAAAGGGAGTAGAATAGAATAGAATAGAATAAAGGGAGTAGAATAGAATAGAATAGAATAGAATAGAATAGAATAAAGGGAGTAGAATAGAATAGAATAGAATAGAATAGAATAGAATAGAATAGAATAATGGGAGTAGAATAGCATAGCATAGCATAGCATAGCACAGAATGGCAAGGAATGGAATGGAATGGAATGGAATGGAACGGAGCGGAACAGAACGGAATGGCATAGAATGGAATGGCATGGCATGGCATAGCATAGCATAGCATAACATAGCATAGCATAGCATAGCATAGCATAGCAAGCATAGCATAGCATAGCATAGCATAGCATAGAATAAAGGGAGTAGAATAGAATAGAATAGAATAGAATAGAATAGAATAATGGGAGTAGAGTAGAATAGAATAGAATAGAATAGAATAGAATAGAATAGAATAATGGGAGTAGAATAGAATAGAATAGAATAGAATAGAATAAAGGGAATAGAATAGAATAGAATAGAATAGAATAGAATAGAATAATGGGAGTAGAATAGAATAGAATAGAATAGAATAGAATAGAATGAGTAGAATAGAATAGAATAAAGGGAGTAGAATAGAATAGAATAGAATAAAGGGAGTAGAATAGAATAGAATAATGGGAGTAGAATAGAATAGAATAGAATGAGTAGAATAGAATAGAATAAAGGGAGTAGAATAGAATAGAATAGAATAGAATAGAATAGAATAGAATAGAATAGAATAGAATAATGGGAGTAGAATAGCATAGCATAGCACAGAATGGCACAGAATGGAATGGAATGGAATGGAACGGAGCGGAATAGAACGGAATGGCATAGAATGGAATGGCATGGCATGGCATAGCATAGCATAGCATAACATAGCATAGCATAGCATAGCATAGCATAGCATAGCATAGCATAGCATAGAATAAAGGGAGTAGAATAGAATAGAATAGAATAGAATAGAATAGAATAGAATAATGGGAGTAGAATAGAATAGAATAGAATAGAATAGAATAGAACAATGGGAGTAGAATAGAATAGAATGAGTAGAATAGAATAGAATAAAGGGAGTAGAATAGAATAGAATAAAGGGAGTAGAATAGAATAGAATAGAATAGAATAGAATAATGGGAGTAGAATAGAATAGAATAGAATAGAATAGAATAGAATGAGTAGAATAGAATAGAATAGAATAAAGGGAGTAGAATAGAATAGAATAGAATAAAGGGAGTAGAATAGAATAGAATAGAATAGAATAGAATAAAGGGAGTAGAATAGAATAGAATAGAATAGAATAGAATAGAATAGAATAGAATAATGGGAGTAGAATAGAATAGAATAGAATAGAATAGAATAGAATAGAATGAGTAGAATAGAATAGAATAAAGGGAGTAGAATAGAATAGAATAGAATAAAGGGAGTAGAATAGAATAGAATAGAAAAGAATAGAATAGAATAGAATAAAGGGAGTAGAATAGAATAGAATAGAATAGAATAGAATAAAGGGAGTAGAATAGAATAGAATAGAATAGAATAGAATAGAATAGAATAGAATAGAATAAAGGGAGTAGAATAGAATAGAATAGAATAGAATAGAATAGAATAGAATAGAATAGAATAGAATAAAGGGAGTAGAATAGAATAGAATAAAGGGAGTAGAATAGAATAGAATAGAATAGAATAGAATAATGGGAGTAGAATAGAATAGAATAGAATAGAATAGAATAGAATGAGTAGAATAGAATAGAATAGAATAAAGGGAGTAGAATAGAATAGAATAGAATAAAGGGAGTAGAATAGAATAGAATAGAATAGAATAGAATAAAGGGAGTAGAATAGAATAGAATAGAATAGAATAGAATAGAATAGAATAGAATGAGTAGAATAGAATAGAATAAAGGGAGTAGAATAGAATAGAATAGAATAAAGGGAGTAGAATAGAATAGAATAGAAAAGAATAGAATAGAATAGAATAAAGGGAGTAGAATAGAATAGAATAGAATAGAATAGAATAGAATAAAGGGAGTAGAATAGAATAGAATAGAATAGAATAGAATAGAATAGAATAAAGGGAGTAGAATAGAATAGAATAGAATAGAATAGAATAGAATAGAATAGAATAGAATAGAATAGAATAGAATAATGGGAGTAGAATAGCAAAGCATAGCATGGCATAGCATAGCACAGCATAGCATGGCATAGCATAGCATAGAATAGGAATAGAAATAATAGAACAGGAATAGAAAAATAAACAGTCTAGTCCTCACAAACCTGATTTCGCTGTCTTCCTAAAGGATAAAATTGTAGACAAGCTGCAATTTTTGAGGGGTGGTTAGGTGGTTAGGAGGTTCGGCAGAAGCTGTTCCACAATGATCGACAACCCTGAGAAGCGAGGAAAAAGTGCAAAGAAGAGCAACTAAGACGATTAAAGGCCGGGAGCCTAAAATATATGAAGAACGATTGCAGGATTTGGGAGTGCCTAGTCTAGAGAAAGGAGGACATGAGAGCAGTATTCCAGCATTTGAGAGCCTTCCTTCCTTCCTTCCTTCCTTCCTTCCTTCCTTCCTTCCTTCCTTCCTTCCTTCCTCCTTCCTTCCTTCCTTCCCTCCCCTTCCCTTTCTTTCTTTCTTTCATTCTTTCTTTCTTTTCCTCCCTCCCTTCCTCCCTCCCTCCCTCCTTTCCTTTCCTCCCTCCCTCCCTCCCCCTTCCCTCCCTCCCCCTTTCCTGCCCCTCCTTCCTTCCTTCCTTTCCTCCCCCCCCCCCCCCCCCCCCTCCCCCTTCCCTTTCTTTCTTTCTTTCATTCATTTCTTCTTTCTTTTCCTCCCTCCCTCCCTCCCTCCCTCCCTCCTTTCCTTTCCTCCCTCCCTCCCTCCCCTTCCCTCCCTCCCCCTTTCCTGCCCCTCCTTCCTTCCTTCCTTCCTTCCTTCCTTCCTTCCTTCCTTCCTTCCTTCCTTCCTTCCTTTTACAATTAACTCAAGACAATGAACAAATCCAACACACCTTCTTCTTTCTATTGTCCCCACAACAATCCTGTTAGGTGGATTGGGCTGAGAGAGAGAGAGAATGACTGATCCAAGGTACGGTACTCAGCTAGCTTTCCTGCTGAGGATGGGACTAGAGCTCTACTCTGTTTGTTAGCAGAGGATGGCAAGGACTGAGGCGAGACAGGTTTGGAAGTCATCATAAGCCTTTATTGACTTTTAAACAGCTAACAAGTAAAGAGTAACTTCAGAACGGCAACAACTTTCCGTCTGACAGCTCTTTATATATAGCAGCTGTCAAATGCGCTTAGCCAATCACGGGGCTCCATTCTCCCGCCGAGAGGACTATGTGTTTTGGCCAATCGGGAGCTTCGTCGCCGTCACGTCGTAAGCCCGAGGACTTAACAAGCTCCTAATCCCCTGGCGTGATTGGCCCAAGGTCACCCAGCCAGCTTTCATCTTTAAGGCGGGACTAGAACTCACAATCTCTTGCTTTCCAGCCTAGTGCCATAACCACTAGTCTAAACTGTCTCTTGAACTTCATTTGGAAGCTTAATGATGGCAGCAGTAAATGATGAATGTTCATGGCCTAATTATCGTTAAATTCTAAGGCTACCTATAGTTTTAGGAAGGGACGCGGTGGCTCAGTGGCTAAGACGCTGAGTTGTCGATCGAAAGGTCGTCAGTTCAGCGGTTCGAATCCCTAGCGCTGTGTAATGGGGTGAGCTCCTGTTACTTGTCCCAGCTTCTGCCAACCTAGCAGTTCGAAAGCACGTAAAAAATGCAAGTAGAAAAATAGGGGCCACCTTTGGTGGGAAGGTAACAGCGTTCTGTGCACCTTTGGCATTCAGTCATGCTGGCCACATGACCACGGAGACGTCTTCGGACAGCGCTGGCTCTTCGGCTTTGAAACGGAGATGAGCACTGCCCCCTAGAGTCAGGAATGACTAGCACATATGTGCGAGGGGAACCTTTACCTTTACCTTGTAGTTTTAGGGTTGTGTTGAGAAATGCCTCAACTCACCACTAGAGGGCAGGAAGGGACCAGAAAAATCTGGCTTCTCCAAAGCCAGAATGAAAGTTTGCAAACTGGGGAAGAGAAGAGGAGGAGGAGGAGGAGGAGGAGCGGAGTCAGAAAGGGGAGAGGAACATGGAGTAAAAGGACTGTCTTGTCACAGGGTGGGTGAGTGGATTATTGTTTTTTATTTGTTTATTTTCTACACTGTGTTCTTGTTGCTTGCAGGCTGCCTAGAGTCACTGTGAGCAAGTAGGGAGCCATATACATTTCTTAAATAAGCAAATTTGCAAGACACAATGACACTCCACTTAGCCCCACTTGCGTTCTGGCCGCAGCAATTTTGCAGATCTGACTTCTGCGGTTGGTTGACGGTTCCTACCGTACAACGTTCAAAACCATCACAGTTCGTTAACTTCCTAGCAAGGCAGACATGCAAACGAAGGGCATCCCTCAACTTTAATTTTATGCTTATTTATTTAGGAGCAATCCCTCTCCCTCTCAGCTCAACCCACCTCACAGGATTGTTGTGGAGAAATTAGAAGGAGGAAGGAGTATGGGGTAAAAATAATGGAAGGAAGGAAGGAAGGAAGGAAGGAAGGAAGGAAGGAGGAAGGAAGGAAGGAAGGAGGAAGGAAGGAAGGAAGGAAGGAAGGAAGGAAGGAAGGAAGGAAGGAAGGAAGGAAGGAAGATGTGATTGAGGTCAAATTATATAAACATACCTTGACCTCAAACACATATTCATAATTCACAATTCATAACAGAGAGGAATTGTTTTCTCTCATGGTTTTGGAATTTGAGGTCTAGAGGTCTAGAGATACAGGGAAAAAAATGACAATCCTAAATTACAGCAGCTGTTTTAACTGTAAACATCTGGTGACTTTGAGGACATTGGTCAGAAATAACCATTGCTGAGGTTGAAAAACACTGTAATACATCATCCATATTTATGTTTTAATAATGAATCCTTTGTGATAGACAATGCTGAAGATTTATCCTTAGAATTTACAACATAGGATTTGCCCAACATTTTCCCTGGTCATTAAATCGTTTTTTCCCCTTTCTTTGACAAAGCCCCTTGAATTCTGATACAGATATGTTATATGTTAGTTCCAAAAGCCCCCAGCAAAGAAGACATGCAAACGAACAATGCACATCAAACTTTATTTTATGCTTATTTATTTAAGAGCAATCCCTCTCCTTCTCAATCCAACCCACCTCAGCCAACCCCCCTGTTGTGGGGGAAAATAGGAGGAAGGGTAAAGAAAAAAGGAAAGAGGGGAAGGAAAGAAAGAAAGAAAGAAAGAAAAAGGAAAAAAGAAAAAAAAAGAAGAAAGAGAAAGTAAAGAAGAAGAAGAAGAGAGAGAGAGAAAAGAAAAAGAGGAAGAAAGAGAGAAAGAAAAAAGAAAGAAAGAAAAAGGGAAAAAGAGAAAGAAAGAAAGAAAGAAAGAAAAAGGAAAAAAAGAAAAAGAAAGAAGAAAGAAAGAAAGACAAAGGAAGGAAGGTAGCAGAAAGAAAGAGAGAGAGAAAAAAGAGAAAAGAGAGAGAGAGAAAGAAAAAAGAAAGAAAGAAAAAGGGAAAAAAGAAAGAGAAAGAAAGAAAGAAGAAAGAAAGGAAGAGAAAGGAAGGAAGAAGAAAGAGAGGAAAAAAGAGAAAGAAAGAGAGAGAAAGAAAGAAAAAAAGAAAGAAAGAAGAAAGAAAGAGAAAGGAAGGAAGGAAGAAGAAAGAAAGAGAGAAAAAAGAGAAAGAAAGAGAAAGAAAGAAAAAAGAAAGAGAAAGGGAAAAAAGAAAGAGAAAGAAAGAAAGAAGAAAGGAAGAGAAAGGAAGGGAGGAAGAAGAAAAAAGAGAGAGAGAAAGAAAAAGAAAGAAGGAAGGAAGGAAGGAAGGAAGGAAGGAAGGAAGGAAGGAAGGAAGGAAGGAGAGCAAGCAAACAAACCTTGCTGAAGTCACCGGCAATCAAGAGCAAGCAATGGAGAATATTTCTTTAATTCAAATTCCTCACCCTGCCGCTTGAATTCTGATAGAGAGATGTTACTGTATATGCCAGTTCCAAAATGCCCAGCATTGTTTCGATTTTTCAGCATCAAAGCAAACCACGAGAAGACCACCTCCAGTTGGTGACAAGGAGGTGTGGTGGGTGGTGAGAGATCCATCTGAGTTTCTCCTCCCATCACTTGTCCTGCAGCTCTGATCAGATGGCTCATCTCTCGAAGTCCTAAGGTGCGGTCGTGCGTCCTCCTCATTTCAGAGAATTGCCTTCCTCCACAAGGATGCTCTTCCGTGTCTTCTTCTTCTTGGGTCAGTCAACTTTGGAATGGGATAAACCAAAATCTGTTAGGATAACAAAGTTGGAAGGGGCTCTGGAGACCTTCTAGCCCAGGAGTCGGCAACCTTAAACACTCAAAGAGCCACAAAAGTCGTAACCAGAAGCCCCCCTCTTCAATTCTGGAGCCGATCGGAAGTCCAGTTCCCCCATCATATAGTCTCCTAGTGTGGCATCCTTTTTCCTCTACCTGCCCTAACTGAAAGCCCTATCAATTGTGGAGCCGACCAGCAATAGGGAGCCGCATTAGAGGGATGAAAGAGCCACATGTGGCTCCAGAGTCGCAGGTTGCTGACCCTTGTTCTATCCCCTGCTTAAACAGGAAACCTTATACCATTTCGGACAAATGGTTGTCCAATCTCTTGTTAGGCTTGCTTTTCAACCACTTTGGGATAGTCTTTGACTCTTACCCCCGACCTACGTCACAGGATTATTTTTCTTGGGTGGGCGAGAGGGCAGAAAGAGATCTTGTAGCACGCTGGTTCCAAATTTTCATAAGCCGATGCTGAGGAGGCTGAAGAAATAACAATATTGATCTTCTCTTTACCCGCAGAGATTTTCCGTCTTGTCTCCAGCCAAGTCTTCCAACCCGAGCAACTGATCCTCGTCGAAAAAGAGAAGATGGTGCTGAAGTGCACTCACAACATCACTGTCATTAACAACATGTTTTGGTACCAGCAAACTGGCAGAGTCCTAGCATTTCTGGGGGCCAACTATAACGGAAAATCTGATCTTCCCGGCGGATTTACGATGGACGTGGAGCAAAAATCCCGCTCGAGCAAATTTACGAGAGACGTAGCAAGGCTGAAAGATGCCGGTGTGTACTTCTGTGCTGTGAGAGACACAGTGGCAGGAAGCAAGCTGGCCTCAGTCCAAAAATGAAATTTAGAAACGAACGAAAGATTATAGCTTGTCTGCAAACTCACCAAGTGTGGTGGAAAATTGGGGGGTGGGGGTGGGTGGGCAAAGAGAACTTCTGTAGAGATCTCTTGTAGGGTTTTTTTCACCACTACCCTTGGTCGTGGATTCGTGTAGGTGCCAAGCCTCTCTTAAGAGTTTGATGCTGGGAGTAAAATGCACCAGGAGAGGGTTTTATGTTCATGGAGGATGAATTTTGAGATCGGGTGGTGTGGGGTGGTGTGGATAGTTGTTTGGGGAGAAGGAGAAACAGTTTGGTTTAGGGGAAGTGTTTTAACGGTGGCAACTTTAGGTTGTGTGGATTTCACACAACCTGGAATCCTCCAGCCACAGCATTCGTGGACTTCAACTTCAGAATTCTCCAGTCAGTTTGTGTGGACTTCAACTCCCAGAATTAATTAATTAATCTCCCTCCCTCTTCCTTCCTTCCTTCCTTCCTTCCTTCCTTCCTTCATTCCTTCCTTCCTTCCTTCCTTCCTTCCTTTCTCCTCCCTCCCTTCCCTTCCCTTCCCTTCCTCCCTCCCACGTTTCTTTCTTTCATTCCTCCCTCCCTCCTTCTTTCCTTCCTTCCTTCCTCCTTCCTCCCTCTCTCCCTCTCCTTTCTTTCCTTCCTCCCTCCCTCTCCTTTCTTTCTTTCCTTCCTTCCTCCCTCCCTTTCTTTCTTTCTTTCCTCCCTCCCTCCTTCTTTCTTTCCCTCTCTTTCTTTCCTCCTCTCTTTCCTCCCTCCCTCCCTCCTTTCTTTCTTTCTTTCTTTCTTTCTCTTTCTTTCTTTCTGTCTGTCTTTCTTTCCTCCCTCCCTCCCTCCCTCCCCCTCCTTTCTTCCTACCTTCTTTCCTTCCTCTCTCCCTCTCCTTTCTTTCCTTCCTTCCTCCCTCCCTCTCCTTTCTTTCTTTCCTTCCTTCCTTCCTCCCTCTCTTTCTTTCTTTCTTTCTTTCTTTCCTCCCTCCCTCCCTCCTTTCTTTCTTTCTTTCTCTTTCTTTCTGTCTGTCTTTCTTTCTTTCCTCCCTCCCTCCCTCTCCTTTCTTTCCTTCCTCCCTTCCTTCCTTTCTTCCTCCCTCCCTTCCTCCCTCCCTCCCTCCTTTCTTTCCTCCCTCCCTCCCTCTTTCTTTCTTTCTGTCTGTCTGTCTGTCTGTCTTTCTGTCTATCTGTCTTTCTTTCTTTCTTTCCCCCTCCCTCCCTCCTTCTTTCTTTCCCTCTCTTTCTTTCCTCCCTCCCTTTCCTCCCTTTCCTCCCTCCCTCCTTTCTTCCTACCTTCCTTCCTTTCTCTCTCCTCTCCTTTCTTTCTTTCCTTCCTCCCTCCCTCCTTTCTTTCTTTCTTTCTTTCTTTCTTTCTTTCTTTCTTTCTTTCCTCCCTCCCTCCTTCTTTCTTTCCCTCTGTTTCTTTCCTCCCTCCCTTTCCTCCCTCCCTCCCTCCTTTCTTTCTTTCTCTTTCTCTTTCTTTCTTTCTGTCTGTCTTTCTTTCTTTCCTCCCTCCCTCCTTCTTTCCTTCCTCCCTTTCTCCCTCCCTCCCTTTCTTTCTTTCTTTCCTCCCTCCCTCTTTCTTTCTTTCTTTCTCTCTTTCTTTCCTCCTTCCTTCCTTCCTTCCTTCCTTCCTTCCTTCCTTCCTTTCCTTCCTTCCTCCCTCCCTCCTTCCTCCCTCCCTCCTTTCTGTCCTCCCTCCCTCTTTCTTTCCTTCCTTCCTTCCTTCCTCTCTCCCTCCCTCCTTTCTTTCCTCCCTCCCTCTTTCTTTCTTTCTTTCTTTCTTTCTTTCTTTCTTTCTTTCTGTCTGTCTGTCTGTCTTTCTGTCTATCTGTCTTTCTTTCTTTCTTTCCCCCTCCCTCCCTCCCTCCTTCTTTCTTTCCCACTCTTTCTTTCCTCCCTCCCTTTCCTCCCTTTCCTCCCTCCCTCCTTTCTTCCTCCCTCCCTTCCTTCCTCTCTCCCTCTCCTTTCTTTCTTTCCTTCCTCCCTCCCTCTCCTTTCTTTCTTTCCTTCCTTCCTCCCTCCCTCCCTCCCTCCCTTTCTTTCTTTCTTTCTTTCTTTCTCCTTCCCTTCCCTTCCCTCCCTCCCTCCTTCTTTCTTTCCCTTTCTTTCTTTCCTCCCTCCCTTTCCTCCCTTTCCTCCCTCCCTCCTTTCTTCCTACCTTCCTTCCTTCCTCTCTCCCTCTCCTTTCTTTCTTTCCTTCCTCCCTCCCTCTCCTTTCTTTCTTTCCTTCCTTCCTCCCTCCCTCCCTCCCTCTCTTTCTCTTTCTTTCTTCTTTCTTTCTTTTTTCTTTCTTTCTTTCTTTCTTTCTTTCTTTCTTTCTTTCTTTCTTCCCTCCCTCCTTCTTTCTTTCCCTCTGTTTCTTTCCTCCCTCCCTTTCCTCCCTCCCTCCCTCCTTTCTTTCTTTCTCTTTCTCTTTCTTTCTGTCTGTCTTTCTTTCTTTCCTCCCTCCCTCCCTCTCCTTTCTTTCCTCCCTCCCTCCCTCCCTCTCTTTCTTTCTTCTTTCTTTCTTTCTTTCTTTCTTTCTTTCTTTCTTTCTTTCTTTCTTTCTTTCTTTCTTTCTTTTTCTCTGGTCGACTATTTTCTTTAAATAGTCCCTTATTTCTCTTGAGGTCTTTTAAAAAGACCATTGCATTTTACTTTCTTAAGAAGGCAGTCTTCATTCATCTCTGTGCTTCTCTTAACTTCACTGCTCCATGAACTGGTCCTCAGATTTCCAGGAACCTGGAATTGATATGGACAAAACCTTGTTTTCAGTACATTCTCTCCCCTAGATGGGAAAAGAAGTGATGCCTGGGATGAGTCTCTGCTTGGAGAACTCTGCTATCTTCTTCAGAAGAGGCCCTGGTTGATTTATAGGTGGTACCAGGTGGACTTCTATGTTAGGATGCCACAAATAGAATGAAAGGAACATTTCTAAAGATCGCAAAACCTCCATCACCACCCACATATCCTTAACTTACCCTCCCAGAAGGTTACAATTCTCTTCCAAACAACTGACACAACACTGATAGATTTGCTCCTGAGAGAAAATGGCTGGGAATTCTCCAGGCTCCCCATAGAGAGATACAGAAACTATATAAAGCTTTTCCCAAGACAGAGGTTCTCCAAGCTTTTCAAAGCTGGAAAGCACCTCTCCAGCGAAGCTGAATTGATCTAAGTTCAATGCAGATTCTTTTTTTTTTTTTTTTTACAGAAATATATGGAAGCCTGTGTCCTACCTGGTCAAGAAATATCAGTTTGTAGTTCATAAACACGGAACATACTGTTAGCGATAGGAATCAAACCAAGCTGGGTTTGGAACTAGCCACTATGTATTAACTTAATTGTTTTTTCGATCCATGCAAGGTAAGAACCAGCCTCTTGTATTTTCCTGTACTTTAGCATCTTCTCTTTTTTGTCAATGATCTCTCTGTCTCTGTCTCTGTCTCTGTCTCTGTCTCTGTCTCTGTCTCTGTCTCTGTCTCTGTCTGTCTATCTCTCTCTCTGTGTCTCGTCTCTCTGTTTTTCTGTCTCTCTCTCTCTCTCTGCCTCTGCCTCTGCCTCTGCCTCTGCCTCATCTCTCTTTCTCTTTCTCTCTCTGTCTCTGCCTTTGCCTCCCTCTCCCTCTGTGTCTCTGTCTCTGTCTCTGTGTCTCTGCCTCTGCCTCTCTGTCTCCGTCTCTTTTTCTCTGTCTCTCTGTGTGTCTCATCTCTCTGTTTCTCTCTCTCTCTCTGCCTCTGCTTCTGCCTCATCTCTCTTTCTCTCTCTGTCTCTGCCTTTGTCTCCCTCTCTCTCTCTCCCTCTCCCTCTCCCTCTGTCTCTGTCTCTCTCCTTCTCCCTCTGTGTCTCTCTCTCTGTCTCTGCCTCTCTGTCTCCCTGTCTCTCTGTGTGTCTCATCTCTCTGTTTCTCTCTCTCTCTCTGCCTCTGCCTCTGGTTCCGCTTCTGCCAGTGCCTCTGCCTCTGTCTCTGCCTGGTCTCTCTGTCTCTCCGTCTCTCTGTCTCTCTTTCTCTCTGTCTCTCTGTGTCTCTGCCTCTGTCTCCCTCTCCCCCCCCCGTCTCTGTTTGTGTACTGAAGTCTTTCTCATTTTTAGATGTTGAAAATTAGAAAACAGCAGAAAAAACCCTACGGGTTATTGAATTTGCCCTTTGGGTTTATTTAATTTTTTTAAATTTAATTTTTCTTTAAAAAAATTGTCAGATGATGGACATGATTTAATTCGATTTTACTTCTGCTCTTAAATTTTTGTATTCTATGTGTTTTATCTTGTGCCTGTTCACCGCCCTGAGTCCTTCGGGAGTAGGGCGGTATATAAATCAAATAAAATGAAAAAAATGAAATGAAAAATGTGTTTATCCCAAGCACATTTAAATTCAGTTACTGAGCAATGACCCAGCCAGCTGGTATTCACGCATGCACTTGCCGGAACCCAGAAGAGAGCAGCTGGCCGGTGCACATGTGTGCGACGGAATCCGGAAGAGCAACTGGAGATGGCACGCGTACCCACAGAGAGGGCTCTGCGGGCCACCACTGGCACATGTGCCATAGGTTCGCCATCATGGTCCTAGTTCAACAGGATTCTCCCTTGAAAGAGTCTTGATAGCAACAAAGATCTGGCCTCCAGAAGTTAAGAAAGTTCTCCAGATCTTCCTCTGGAAAGAAAGAGACAGTGAAAGAGGCTAAGAATGGAAGCATCCAGGAATCAACAGTTTAGCAAAAGAGACTTCCATCTCCCTGGTCATTAAGTCACTAGTACTGTCTATGGAGATTCTCAACCATCCAGGTCATGGTTGTCCCAAAGGGACTTTTTCCCAAGTCCAGCTGCCTTTTAGAAAAAGCATTTTGAGGCAAACCAGTAGGAAATTCTCTGAAATGAAATGAGATTTTCTTTAAAGGACATAAGTAAAAAAAGAAAGAAAGAAAGAAAGATTGAATGTCCTTGTGTGTTTTCTTATATTTGCAGGAAGGGGCTAAATATAATGCCCAACCGTACGGTCATTCTGGAATTCATTCTCCTGGGGATCCCCCATACCGAAGGCCTGCACAACATCTTGTTTGTGGTTTTCTTGTCCTTCTACCTTCTCACTTTAACTGGCAACCTACTCATCCTCACAGCCGTCATTTCCGATGCCCGCCTCCATACCCCTATGTACTGGTTCCTCTGCAACCTCTCGGTGGTTGATCTTGGCTTCTCCTCCATCAGCACCCCAAAGTTCTTGGCCAACCTTTGGGCAGGGAGCCGCACCATCTCTCTGGGTGGCTGCATGTGCCAGGTGTTCTTCTACCATTTCTTAGGGAGCACCGAATGCCTTCTCTACACCGTCATGGCTTACGACCGCTATGCGGCCATCTGTCACCCGCTGCGGTACTCCATCATCATGAATCGGAAAGTTTGCGCCCTTCTGGCAGCTGGTACCTGGTTCACCAGCTCCTTCCATGCCACTATCTTGACTAGTTTGACCTTCACCCTACCCTACTGCCAGTCTAATGAGGTCGACTATTTCCTGTGTGACATTTTCCCTGTGGTCAAGTTGGCTTGTGCGGACACCTACATCATTGAAACGGTGAGCTTCACCAACATTGGGGTGGTGCCCATGGCTTGCTTTTTCCTTATCCTCACCTCTTACGTTAGGATTTCAATTTCCATACTGAAGATGCAGTCAGCGGAAAGCCGGCGGAAGGCAGCCTCCACTTGCGTGTCACACCTGACGGTGGTTTGTTTCTTCTTTGGACCTTGTGCTCTTCTCTACACCCAGCCTTCTCTCAGTGACATTCTAGCCACCCCCATCCAGATTTTCTGCAACGTTGTCACTCCAATGTTAAATCCTCTTATTTACACTCTACGGAACAAGGAAGTTCAATCAGCCTTCAGAAGGCTGAAAGGTGGACCAAGTGTTTTCTTTTGAAGAAGTGAAGGGAAGACAACTCCACTGGCTTCATATTTGTGGAGCCCTTCATGCTCTCTGAAGTTGGTTGCTTTCCTGTCAGGAGTTTCATTACCAAACTAGGTAACATCATCAGTGCTAAAAGAGAGCGGGGTTTCCTCTCTTTTTGTATGCTAGTGGCTTGTCAGTGTTGGTGGGAATGGTCTTGGTGGTTCCCGTTATTTACTGTTGGCTTGTTTGTCTGAATTGATTGTTCCTTGATTGGGGTATTGTTCAGTTCTTGATTGTTGCCTTAGTGCTAATCTTGATGTTAATCTCAGCTCATCTGGGTGTTGATTGCTGCTGAGGAAATGGCTTTTTTGATCATCTCTTCCAATGGTATGTAGATATTGTTTATCTTTGTGTGCTGGTTGATGACTGACTTGTTTGAGTCCCAGACGTCCAGGAACTTGGCTTGGTCTAGAATGCTCACCATTTCCCAGTCAAGTGTTTTCTTCTCTTGACGATGGGAACACAACCAGAAAAAGTCCACCGACTTCACAATTGTAGCTCATGATGATATGTTCAGGGCACGCTGTGATTCCAGTCCAAATGTAGAACACTTAGCTCTTAGACATCAGCAGTTATGAGATTAAGGTATAAAGCATTTCTATTTATTTATTTAAGACAATTTGTATGGCTGCCCAACTCACTCACAGGGCTGCTGGGTTGCTTACAAGGACAAAAACTCTATACAAAAAGCAATAACATCTCCACCCACCTGGTGACGACAACCGGATGAGCCACTTGATGGGCTCCATATCACTCTGGGGTCCCCATGACCATTGGCAGAACCATGTCTTCAGGGCTTTGATAAAAAGTGTCAAAGTAGGGGCCAATCCCTGCAGGAATGATGATCTACAGGAAGGGAGCCACCACAGAGAAGGCCCATATTTTGGGTCCTGCTAGATGAACCTCCTTAGGAGAGAGGACACATACATTCCCTCTCCCTACCCCCCCACTCTGGTGGATTGGGTAGCTATTCAGAGGTGGGATTCACTTACCTTCCCTACTGGTTCACAAATTATTATTATTATTATTTATTGAATTTATACAGTATACTGCCCTTCTCCCCGAAGGGACTCAGGGCGGTGAACAGCTGAAAATTAAAATAACATACAATATAAAAGTTAAGATAACTAAAAGTAAATTAAATTAATCGGCCTCCCAATTTAAAACTCCAAGCTATACAATTAAAAACTAATCCATAAAACCTATTCAGGCCAGACTGGCTTACTGAAATAAAAATGTCTTCAGGGCCTTACGGAAAGTGCGGAGATCCAGGATCAACCGTATTCCTATGTAGCTTGTTCCAGAGGGCAGGTGCTCCCACAGAGAAGGCTTTCCCCCTGGGGGCCGCCAGCCGACATTGCTTGACCAATGGCACCCTGAGGAGGCCCTCTCTGTGAGAGCATATTGGCCGGTGGGAGGTTATTGGTAGCAGAAGGCAGTCTCGTAAATACCCTGGCCCTAAGCCATGGAGTGCTTTAAAGGTGAGAACCAACACCTTGAAGCACACCCAGAAGACCACTGGGAGCCAGTGCAGCTCGCACAGGAGAGGTGTTATATGGAAGCGCTATGTCGTTCCCGTAATCACCCGCGTGGCCGCATTCTGGACCAGTTGGAGCCTCCGGGTGCTCCTCAAGGGGAGCCCCATGTAGAGAGCATTGCAGTAGTCCAGGCGAGAAGTGACAAGAGCATGAGTGACTGTGCATAAGGAATCCCGACTCAGAAAGGGGTGCAACTGGTGTATCAGCCCCCTCTGTGGGGGGTCAATGACTCGCCCCCAATAGCCAGCGATGGCACCAGCTGGCTATATCGGGATGTCGGCATCCACAGCCACTCGGTCTTGGAAGGGTTGAGTCGAAGCCTGTTCCTCCCCATCCAGACCCGCACGGCCTCCAGACACTGTGAGCACATGTGCAGTAGTTGCGCATTACATCCTGGTGGGTGGGCGGAACCTCCCACAATCATTGCTACCAGTTCACATGATCCAGAGACAACCAGCTGAATCCCACCGCTGTAGCTATTCCTTTATGTCCCTCCTCCTCCCCTTTCCCCTCTCCTCCTCTCCTCCTATTCCTCCCTCCCTCCCGCTCCTCCCCACCCCCTTCTCCTCCTCCCTTCCTCCCTCCCTCTCGTCTCCTTCTCTTTTTCTCCTTCCCCCTCTCCTCACCTCCTCCTCTTCCTCCTCTCCAAAAAGGTTGAAGTTGTGATGATACAGTGACATGAACTAATAGGCAAAGCCAAAGTTTTTTGCATCTGTTTTGGAGCAATGTTTGAAGAAGTTCAGTGGGGCGGTTCTAGGAGTGAAAAATGGATATGTATGCCTATCAGCCCTCCAAGGGAAATCAAACTGGGAAACTGAAAAACACACACAAGCGAGAGCTACTTTTATGATAAAGTTATGAATTTTATTTATTATTTATTATTACACTTCTATGATCCCTGTTGTCAGGCCTGGAAGCCATTTTTGCATTGTATCTTCAGATCTGCCATGTGTAGTGCTGTGGGAAACTGGGAGGGGGGGAATTGTGTGGAGTAGGGAAGATATATAGTCATAATAACATTCCTTTCTCTGAGAGTCAAGGACATCTTGCCCTGCATCCGGAGGGATGTGATTGGGAGGCATCTCCAGTTGGTATGGTGCATTGATTGGGCCATGTGATGGACATGTGATGGACATGTGGGTTCTGGGTAGGGACTTGGACTTTTCTATGGGTGGGGAAAACCTGGAAGCTTTCAGATTCGGCTTTTCCCAGATGTGCCAATATGTCCTCTCTAATGAAATGGAACTTTGAGGAACTTCTAGCCTCAGATTCTTCTTTCGTTGGTGGTGTTACTTTGAACCCTGACACCCATCTTTTTGAGACGACCCCAGGCAGCTTGAAGTCATATAATTAAAATATGATATAAAGCTTTGAAACAATAAATAAAAAAACCCCATTTTTTAAAAATTCATTTAGAATTCAACTAACAAAAATAGGAAGGGAGTGAAGTATGTATGGGGAGGAAGTGGGGTCTGTCTAATCCATGAACTGTCTCCAAAATGCCATTCCCCCTGAGGTAAGACCCCCTTCTCCTAGAAGAATGAAATATTTTGAGAAATATTAAAAAGGCAGAATATTATATTTCCCTAAAGGAGAAATAGAGAAACATGCTCTTCGAGACAGAAAGCAATCCCCAAGTCTTTCTTAATAGTTCCCAGGAGATATTTTGTGCCCATTGAGAAAGATTGGGCCAGTCTATCTACAAAACAAAAGACCTCCAGTTCCAGGGTGATGGGATTAAGACATGACCCCTTAGGACATAATAGGATTAACCCATCTAGCAGCAGAGCTTATTACATGGCACACTCTCCTAAGGACATTGCATCAGAGTCTAAGCTTCAACCAAACTTAACTCAGACAACCTACAGAGCTAGCTATGACCCCTACAACAGCCAATAGAATACACCGTCTTGCACAGGAACAGGAAGCTCAAGTTCAAAACCAAAGAGAAGGTATAAATACCCCTGACTCTCAAATCCATGTGTTCAGCTGCACCAGAGAACCATGTGCTTGGTGGTTCTGCTTCATCATTAAACTGTCTTTCCAATCAGCCTCCATGTTTCCAGTGTCTTCCTCACAGCTTGGAACTGAACCAGATGGATATTTCTCCCAACACCCCATTGCAGACCCAGACCAGCTGGTGCATAGCCAGAATTTCAAGTCCTTTGGAAAGTCATATGGGTGGGCGTGGCTCCAGAGGTGGGTGTCACATAATGTAACAACCGGTTCACCCAGCACCGGAAATGTGAGTGTACGTGTGCACACACTTGCTTCGCTCGTGTGTGTGCCATCTGTGCATGCATGCGGCCTTCCGTGCATGCACACGGCTCCAAAAACACAGTGATATAGGACCAAATAGTTTGCATCCTTGCATCCTCATTCTAGTTGGTCAGCTCAAGAGATAGTCCCAGTGGTGAGATTCAGCCAGTTCAGGCCGGTTTGGGTGAATCGGTAGTTAAATTGCTGGCTGGCTCTGCCCCTCCCCTGTCCTGCCCCTTCCAGGAGTCCCCATGTGCCCCATTTTGGCTCCCAGGTAAGTACAGAGAGGCCTCCTAGGCCCAAAATGGGGCGTGGGGGATGCGGCGCCCCCCTGTGGCTCATTTTTGCTCCCAGGGGGCTTCAGGGAGGCCTCCTAGGCCCAAAATGGGGCATGCGGGGGGGTGGGTTGGGTGGCGCCCCTCCAAAGCCTGTTTTTGCTCCCAGGAGGCTGCAAGGAGGCCTCCTAGGCCCAAAATGGAGTGTGTGTGTGGGGGTGTGTGTGCGGCGTCCCTCCTGCAGCCCATTTTCACTCCCAGGAGGCTGCAGGGAGGCCTCCTAGGCCCAAAACAGGGTGCGGGGGCAGGGTGTCCCCCCCACAGCCTGTTTTTTCTTCCAGGGGGGTGCAGGACGCAGGAGGCTGAGTGCTGCCTGTCACACCCCCTGGCCATGCCCATCATGGCCACGCCCACCCAGCTGGTCATTAGGGCAGAGAACCAGTTGTTAAATTATTTGAATCCCACTACTCAGTGGTGGGTTTCAAAAAATTTTTTACTACCGGTTCTGTAGGTGTGGCTTGGTGGGTGTGGCATGGCTTGGTGGGTGTGGCAGGGGAAGGATACTGTAAAATCTCCATCCCCACCCCACTCCAGGGGAAGGTTACTGCAAAATCCCCATTTCCTCCCGATCACAAGCAGAAGACATCTGAGATCTGAATGAATGAAATAGCCTTATTAAATACTTTGTTCTTTACATACAGTAGTTTATACACTGCTCAAAGAACTAAAGGGAACACAAAACTACTGTATGCAATGAACAAAGTATTTAATAAGGCTATTTCATTCATTCAGATCTTCTTCTGCTTGTGTTCCCTTTATTTTTTTGAGCAGTGTACAACCTGCCTATTGTTCAAAACAGTCATTAGTATTATGGCAAGCCTAAAAGTCAAAGATTACAAGAGTGCTTACAAGCATATTAAGATGGACTTATGCAGTGGTGGATTTCAAACTTTTTTACTACTGGGTGTGGGTGTGGCTTGGTGGGCGTGGCATGGCGTGACAGGGGAAGGTTACTGCAAAATCCCCATTCCCTCCCCACTCCACTAACCTGCTCTGGAAGGAATCAAACTCCCCCCTCTCCATATCCCCAAATAAAATATTACTCATAAGAAAAGCAAGGAAAAATCAAGCTGCTTAGAAGGAACCTGCCTGATACTCATTCCACATTCCTGCCAGCTGCATAAAGGAAACTTTGTAAGCAGAAAACAGCTACCGGTGCTTAGAGATGATAGAAAGTGGAAACTGGAAGTTCGTCTCCATTTGCAAGCAGGCAGAAAACTCATTGAAGACAGGATATGTCACAAATGAAATTGCCCAAACCTTTTTAGAAACACAAAGCCCATGTTGCACAAACCCCAAAACTTCAAAAACATAAACCATATAGGAATCCCTCCTCTTATCCAGTTTGTTGTTCAACTGACCCAGAAACGAACTGCTGAATGTCACTTCGCTTCTGCAAGTAAAAACCTCCTTCCAGCAGCTGCTTCTTGGCTTGTCAATTTAAAGCGACGGCATCTCCCCCCCCCTTCTTTTTTGCCAAGTGATCTCCTGGCTGAGAAGCGAGTCCTGATTTTTTCCTTCTAGCCAATCAGTTGGGAGGCTTCTCAATTTAAAGCAACAGTGTCTTGTTTTTGTCCTCCTCTTCTTTGTCAAGTGAGCCCTGATTTTTCCTTCTAGCTGATCAGCTGGGAGTGGGGATAGATTGGGGGCGGGGCCAGGCAGAGGTGGTATTACCGGTTCCCCAAACTACTAAAAATTTCCACTACCGGTTCTTGCTAACTGGGGAGAACTGGTAGCAACCCACCACTGAATATGTCCATACATCAATTTATCTGTATGCTTTTATGATCCCCATTTATAACTGCCTTCCAGAAGGAAAAAAAGTTCTGATCTAACTTAAATCTCAGACACAGGACAATATAGAAGGCCAATCTTCTATATTGCACATTGTTCCCTGGCTTAAATGTTCCAGTGGGGAAAATCTCCAATATTTATATATAAAGGATATCAGGCAAATGGAAAGATTTGTTAAAACTTTCTCTTCATGAGCTGATGTTTATCATTCAGTTCAGGTCTCATCACAATGATAAAACACTTGGGAAGGAAGATGCACATCAATAAGCCAGCACTGGAGGAGATCATGGAGAAGATCTCCACAGCCAACGTATATTTTCCCCTTGTGCTTAAATAGGTTGGGATAAAGCACAGCCAAACACTGCAGAAGACCAACATGCTGAAGGTGATGAATTTGGCTTCGTTGAAACTGTCAGGTAACTTCCTAGCTAGGAAAGCAGCAGAGAAGCTAACTAGAGCAAGAAAACCCATAAAGCCCAAAACACAGTAGAACATGACTGAGTCTTCATTGCACTCCAGGATGAGTTCTTCAGATATCGAGTGTGCATCGAAATCTGGGTAAGGTGGGGACGTTATCAACCACGCAGCACAAACACACGTTTGAACAAGGGAGCAGGCTAGAAGAATGAAAGTGACCATTCTTCCCCCCACCCATTTCCTCAATCTGGATCCAGGTTTGGTGGCCATGAATGCGAGAACCACCACAAAGGTTTTGGCCAAGACACAAGAAACCACCACAGAAAATATGAGGCCAAAAGATGGCTGTCGAAGGAGACACACAATCGTATTGGGTCTCCCGAGAAATAGAAAGACACAAAGAAAAGAGAGAAGGAGGGAACCTAGGAGAAGGTAGGTGAGATTCCGGTTGTTGGCTTTGACGATGGGAGTGTCTTTGTGTTTCATGAAGATTGTGATGACCAAAGTTGTCATTAAGGAAAAGCAAAGGGAAAGAATGGTCAGACTGATCCCCAAGGGTTCTTCATAGGACAAAAAAGTGATCCGCTTTGGAATGCACATATTTTTCTCAGGATTTGGATATTGATCTTCTGGACATGGAAAGCAGTCATCCACATCTGGAAAAGAACACATCGATTGGAATTGATACCATGGATTATAGACAGTGTTGAACCCTCATGGCTTAGTCCCATTATATTTGGAAATTTCCTACCCTTCTCCTTTGATATTTTCCCCTCTGGACACAGATGGCAAGCATAGCAGCAAAATGACTTCCCTTCTATCTTTTCCTTGCTGTATCCTGTCTCACAAGGATCATTACATAGAGATAGAGGTAATGCCTATCAGTGAACGAAGAAGAATATTTTAAGATGCAGAGGAAAAAGGAAATGTTTGGAGAGCTACTGTTTTTGTGGAATCATCAGCATAAAAATGGATTTATGTACTAAGTAATGCAGTACAGAAGTCATGTGATGACATCATTTTAGTTGTAATTGGTCTGAAATAACAATTCATTAAATATCTACCCTTACCGGTATTTATGGCCTTCTATAACCATCATCACCACTCCAAGACAATTTTTGAGCCGATTAGATAACAATAGTTTTCTCAGCTTCTGAAGTTTGAAGTCACCAGACTGGTGAAATCTACTACACTGGATTCAGGGATGAAATCCAGCAGGTTCTGACAGGTTCTGGAGAACCAGTAGCAGAAATTTTGAGTAGTTTGGAGAATTGGCAAATACCACCTCTGGCTGGCCCCAGAGTGGGGTGGGAATGGAGAGTTTGCAATATCCTTTCCCCCGGAGTGGGGTGGGAATGGAGAGTTTGCAATATCCTTTCCCCCGGAGTGGGGTGGGAATGGAGAGTTGCAATATCCTTCCCCTGGAGTGGGGAGAGAATGGGGATTTTGCAGTATCCTTCCCCTGGAGTGGGTGAGAATGGAGATTTTGCAGTATCCTTCCCTTGCCACACTCACCAAGCCACGTGCACCAAGCCACGCCCACAGAACTGGTAGTAAAAAAATTTGGATTTCACCACTGACTGGATTGTAGCTTTTACTTCAAAGCCATGAAAGTATTGTACCTAATTACCAAAGGCCTAGGTAAAGGGTACAATAGTTTATAACTATTATTGCAAAAGTAATCATTCCTACGGATAATTTTTTTCTTTCCTAGAATATTTGTACTTAGACTAGTTCAGAGATGATGCTCTAAGACTTTCATCAATAAAGACACTTTTAGTTGTGGCCCACCAGCAGCAAGCGGAGCTGGCGGCAGACTTGGACAGTGAGGAGGTTGGGAAGGAACATGGGCCAGTCCTGGAGTCTGGGGAAGGCTCTAATGAGGGCTCTGCATCAGAGGCAGAGCTGGGGCCAGGGCCATCTGACAGTTACCAGCTACCTTCGAAGTCAGAGGTAAGTGGGGCAGAAGAACAGCTGGAGCCTGTTCCCAATGTGCGCATGCACAGAGCTGTCAGGAGAAGGGAACAATTAAGGAACAGGGGTTGACTCGGGAGTAAAGGAACAAGCGGATGCTGAATGGCCCCTCCCATAGGGAATTAGGAGGAACAAAAGGGGAGTGGTGTTTGCAGGAGACAATTAGTTCATTTATTAGTGTGAAGATTTGCTTATCTGAGTTGCGTCTCACAGAGACTCCTTGCCAAGTATTTCATTGTAAAGAGTTGCGCCTGAAAGCTATTGGGCTGGCAACGATCCAAGGACTGATAAGGTCTATTGTTGCAATTCACCCTTGAAAGACTGTTTGCTGGGACTTTTCTGTATGTGAATGCACACATTAGTCAAATAAAAAGGGGTTTTCTTCAGGACAAGGACTCTGTTTTATGATTTTGTGAAGCCTAGATCAGAACACGTTTATGCTACATAAAGGAAGGGAGACCAATCTAGATTCCAGCAGCTAACCTGATTAAATCCTACTGACCACGTGATGGAATCTACAGAAATATTGAAGAACTTGTTCTCTGGAGCTGTGGGATCGATCATCCCAACTTTGATCCTAACAAAGGATTGGTTTGGGAATGAGATCCAGTTGATAATATCATATCCACCAATGAATTGTCCGTTTTTATCAAAGGAGATCTTCTCACCAACACTGTTGTTGAATCTGACACTTCTCAGAAAAGAATGAACCTGAAAAACAGAGACAGCCAGAGAGGAACAAAGAGAGAAAAGGACAGAGAAGAGATAAGGAATTCATATATTGAAAACATACTGTGTTTCCCCGAAAATAAGACCCTGTCTTATATTTTTTTGAACTGTGAAGTAAGCGCTTGGCCTTATTTTCGGGGAGATCTTATTATTTTGGGGCGCGTGGAGCAAGGCGGGGCTCCTCTTGCTGTCTTACCTGATTTCCAGCTCTGTCTCCCTAACCCTAAGCAGAGGAAATGGCGAGGACTGACTGCACATGCGGTTAAATATTTTTGGGGAGGGCTTATTTTGGGGGGAGGACTTATTTTAATGCATGTGCTCAAAAGCCCGATTGGGCTTATTATCAGGGGATGTCTTATTTTGGGGGAAACAGGGTACATATACATGTTACTTTAAACAAAGAAAATATTAAAACTTTTTAAAAATTTTAGTTGTAGGCCAGTATCAAACAAATACCACATTTCCCTGAAAATAAGACCTATCCTGAAAATAAGCCCTAGTATGTTTTTTTACATGTGCACCTAATATAAGCCCTACCTCCAAATAATCCTACTTAAGAGCCTACGCAACCACCCACCCACCCATTCCGTCTGGTTGCTCGTGGTGCTGCAGCCATGAGGTGATTGTGGTGGAGCTGCCCCACACACCCCACATGGGCTTACTTTAGGGCCTCCACAGCCAGGCCATCCATGCCCTGACAACTGCCTCATGGCAGCAGCAGTACCACTAGCCATGTGTAGCAGAAGCCCACATGGCCGCCAGCCCACTTTCTCTGCTTGTTCACGGTCGCAATGAAGCAGGAGGCTGAGTAGTGTGGTGAGGCCGCAGCTGCAAGGCAAGGCGGGGTTGGGGTTTGGATGACCTGGTTGCAGGAACCCTGAGGTAAGCTGGTGTAGGGCATGTGGGGCAGCTCACGGCGGGGGTGCTGGCATTCCGTGTGGCTTCCTGCCCCACTGCGAGTAATCAGAAGAGGTTTTAAATTTAAATTGTGATATTTGTATTGTGTTTTTACCTGGCTGTACACCGCCCCGAGTCCTTCGGAAGAGGGGCGGTATAGAAATAAAATTATCCTTATCCTTTTCCTTTTCCTTATCCTTAATACTGTTCTTACTTACAAAGAGCCTTATACTTGCTGTAGCCATGCTAAGGTTTGATCTGGATTATTGCAGACTAGATGTAAGATAATAACAAGATAAAACAAAACGTAATTGAAAAGGCTTATGTTTATGTATGTACATACTCTCTCTCTCACACACAAGCAAACACACTTTCCAGTTACCTTATGTTTTATCCTATTATTGTCTTATACATTTGAATATATTATCTATAGCCCTTTCTTATGATTAACAGAGTATATGTTGTGGCCTGTACACAGCCTGTGCAGCTAGTAGCTGATTCAGACAGTGAGGAGGCTGGTGTGGTGCTGCGCCAGCAGCCTGTGCAGCTGGCGCTTGAGTCGGACAATGAGGAGGCTGGAGAAGATGTGGTGCCAGAGTCGGGGATTCAGCCAGGGCCCTCAGTAAGGCTTGGGGCTAATTGGGCACTCCCTTAGCCTATTTAAGGAGGAATGCTGACTGAAGCAATTTGCAGGGAACAACTTAATTCACATACCTTTGTGTTGTGCTTATCTTATCAGGTTTCAGCAAATTGCTTCTGAGCATTCTGCCAACCATAGTAAGTTTTCAGTTATTTTTCTTGGAATTCTTGGCAGCTGTTAATGCAATTAATTAACAGCCATTATTGTAAAAGACTGGTTTATTCAGTAAACTAAGGTTTGAACAGACTTTGTGTATGCTGCGTTCTTTGGGGTCCATAGCTGGGGCAGAACAGTATATTGCTAATACTGATAGTAGAGTGGACAGTCCTACAGAACTTAGGTTATAAATGCAAAAGAGTAAAGAAAGTAGCTTGGAAGAATCCCCAAGAACGTTTTGTCTGTCTGTCAATTTCATGGATAGAATCACATTTTTATTATTATTATTATTTATTTAATTTGTAAATTAGGATTTAGGATCCCGTATCTCCGCACCTTCTGCCACACTCTAAAGATCTTTTTATTTCACCAGGCAGGCCTGGCCTAACTTTCTCCCTCTTTTTAAACAATTTTTAATATTTTTTTAGTATTTTTAATATTCAAAGTTTAAATTTGTTTTAAATTGATTGGGGTTTTAATCTGTCTGGGCCAAACTATTTAATTCGATTTTATTTCTGCTTTTTAAATTTTGTATGTATGTATTTTATTGTTGGCTGTTCACCGCCCTGAGTCCTTCGGGAGTAGGGCGGTATATAAATCAAATAAAAGTAAAGTAAAGTAAAGTAAAGTAAAGTAAAGTAAAGACATACGATCAATCCCCCTAGAGAATATTGTTTGTTAGAGTTTATGGATAGATAGACCTATAGATATGGTTGTCCCAAAGGTGCTTTTCGAAAAGGCCACTGGACTTTCTTATTTTCCTTGAAGAGGTTTTGCTTCTCGTCCAAGAGCTTCTTCAGTTCTAAGTGAATGGTGTGGAATGGAAGGATTTATATTCCTTGAAATCATCTGGTCATTTGCACTCTTTCTGAGAGTCATTGAGGAAACTTGGAGGTCTTTAAACAAAAGCAAAAAAGTCCAGTTGCCTCTTGAAAAAGCACTTTTGGGTCTATCGTGACCTGGATGATCAAGAATCTCCACAGACATACAGATATGGTTGTCTCCGCACTAATCTGCTTACAGGACTTACCTGCCACCACAGTTGATTGTGAAACTGTTTCCTTCCTTTTTTCACAATTGTTCTGTGTCTGGACTTGGATAAATATAGAGATTGCAAAGCGTGTGCCACAGCATAGACTGCATTGTAAATATTGTAACTCTGTCCACTGATGCATGTTTCAAACACAGATGTAGGAAAGGTCCCAAGCTTCTCCTGTCCTGTACAAGTTACCTCAGATGTCTCCATTTTTGAAGTAGAGAAGAAACAACCAAATGCCTGTTCCCAGAAATCTTTCCGAAAATAATCGTGATGGTCATATTTTGGACTTAGATTGTGAAGAAATTCCTGGAAATCCTGGACCTCTTTTGTATGAACTGCAAAGGATAAAGCCCCATGTAGGAAATTGACATCCCAAGTTTTATGAAGGGACATTGAAGTGTAATCTGTCTGAGCATTTATAAGCCAGATCTTTTGCTTCTTTGGTATGTCTTCCACTTCTGAAAACCGGAGGAAACTTCTCAGAACTGTTATGGTCTGAATTTTACCATATACAATTATCACGTTGGCCTTGCTCTTCATGAGAACATGGTATATCTTTAGTCCTTCTTCCATAATATCCGTAAAATCATTATAGAAATCTATGTTTGGTAACTCTGCTATGAACTCAGTGCAGATGCCATACTTGGAAAAGGAAGGGACCACCTCCTGGACAAATTTCTCTGCTTTCTCATCCTTGACTACAAGAATCCCAACCCAGATCCATCTTAAGTACTTCAATAGGTGCATGAGGCCCTTATGTTCATGGGATTCATCTGGAAACATCTGCTGGAAGAAAACTGCTTGAGTCTCTTTCTCCATGGCTGGAGCAGAACCATAGGTCAACTAAAGGAAGACAAACAAATGGGTGGTGAATGAAAGCTCCTTCCTTTCAGTCTAACAGAGCCAACTCCACAAGGAATCCAGGCTATGTGTCTTGCTGACAAAGGAAGATGGAAATTTGTCTTGCTCTTCCCATGGCTCTCACAGTAGCCTCCTTGCCGCTTTCCCACTTGTGTTGCACAAGCTACGTAGGGCAAGCTGGAATCCAGACCCTCTTTTGGAGTTGCTCATCCCCAGAGAACCATCATTCAAATTGACTCTTGTCTTCCAACACAACTCTAGTTGTGAGTGGAGAAAGGATGGCACCGTTGATTTCTATGACCCAGGCAACCCCATTGCAACCAAAGCACAAGAGCTCCAGATCATTTGTTTTGTGCATCATATTACTGCACCCCTCTGTCTCTCTCACACACACACACACATACCACTTAGCTTGGAGGATGGAAGAAAAGCTTGGACAGAACAAGTTTCCTCTGTTCAAAGGTTGGTGTTCGTGGGATAGGAATTGCCTTTCCAGTCTCACCTTATCTTCCCTTCCCACTTATCCTTCCTCCATTGTATGGAAAAAAACAGAGGGAAAGGTCTAAGTGAACCTCCTACACTGTGTAGATTCATTTGAGTCTTTGAGTGCCCTTGAGTTTATATACTGAAACATTATGCAACTAGTTGGCTTTATTTAGGAAAATCAACCAAGATATCCATCTATATCGTGAGGTTGACAAAAAGGAAAAGAAGAAGGTGTCAACCTATTCTCCAAAGCACTTGAAGGTGGGACAAAAAGCAATGGATGGAAACTAATCGAGGAGAGAACCAAGTTAGAACAATTAATCAGACAAACTGCTTACCTTCAGATGTTGTGGGTGCTCCATCACATGTTGTGGGTGCTCCATCACTGGAAATTTTTAAGAAGAGATTGGACAACCATTGATATGAAATGGCATAGGGCCGTGATGGTGAACCTATGGCACGCGTTCCACAGGTGGCACATGGAGCCATATCAGAGATGAGCATAGCATTGCCCTTGCTCATCTCCAGTGCGCATGCACACGCTGGCCAGCTGATTTTTGGGCCTGCTGAGCCCACCGGAAGTCAGGAAATAGGCTGTTTCTGGTCTCCGGAGGGCCTCTGAAAGGCTCTAGAAAGGCTCTGGAGCCTGGGGAGGGCGAAAAATGGGCCTACTGGGCCCACCGTGCCATCGCGTACCAAAAACAGGGGGAGCACGGGGGGGGGGTTGCGCACGGGGGAATGGGGTGCATTGAATTATGGGCGTGGGCAAACACCGCGCGCGCCCTCCTCCCTCTGCTTTTGGCACACAACACCAAAAAGGTTAGCCATCACTGATATAGGGTTACCTGCTTGAGCAGGGATCAGATTAGAAGACTTCCAAGATCCCTCCCAACTCTTAATTCAGTGTATCGCATTGAGGAATGTTTTTCTATGCCCAATATCCCCACTATCGGTTCAATGTTATGAGTCCTCATGCTGCTATGGTAATCCAATCAAGCAAAAAATAATATCCTGGAATCTGACAGGATATTTTTAAGAGAAAGAAGCATGCACACTTCTGGAGAGATACGGCAATATAGCAAGAACACTTAGACTTTTCTACTACTTCATAGTGCTTTTACAGCCTTCTCTAAGCGGTTTACAGAGTCAGGATATTGCTCCCAACAATCTGGGCCCTTATTTTACCGACTTTGGAAGGAATATCTTCTGCACCTCTTACCTGAGGAACTTTGTAGATGCACAATACAGCTGCCATGTGAAGAGAGATATCCGGTCCCCCAATTACTGCAGCCAAATGTTTTGGGACCCCACACTTGTAGTTAGGGATGAATTTGCCGTGAGTGAAAGGCAGAAGCATTGAGGCGAAGTAAGTCCAGCTTGGACTGAAATGGCTGTTAAAAATGTGGAAGCCCAGCGTGACATTGGGTAGGATCTGACGATGTTCATTGATCTCTTTTAGAGTAAACGCTAAGGCCAGGACATGCTGGTAATTCTGAAAAAAGATTCTGTAAAGAATAAAAAAAAAATACATTAAGAAATGTCCTCTTCATACCAGGGCATCTGCAGTCCTTCAGCACAACAAATTTCGTGGAATCTGTCAATATCTAGAAGCATTGAAATCCGATGGCAGAAAAAGAGTTAGCGGTATTTTGAGTCACCCTCTGAGTTATTTGTTTTCTTGTTAATTTATTCATTATTTTTATATCGTTTCAATTTTTGTCAGATGATGGACATGTGTTTAGCCCAAGCATGTTCAAACTCAGTTACTGATGATTGACCCATTACTTTTGCTTGGAAGTTGGTTTAAAGCTTCCAGTACACTTTCTGTGAGGTAATACTTTCTAACATGACTTTTGAATTTTACTCCAGCCAGTTTGAGGTTATGTCTCTGTGTTCTTGATTTTTGCTTAATATTGAAAACACGGTCTTCCAAATCTTATTCACAGCCTTAATCTTTTTAAAGGGTTCCATCATGTCCCCCATTTCCCTTCTGTCCTTCAGGCTGTACTTATTCAGTTCCTTCGAACTCCCATGATATGTTTTGTCCCTCAGACCCTGCACCATTTTTGTTACTCGTCTCAGGACTCACTCAATTTAACAATATCCTTTTTAAAAGTCAAATTGCATTTATTTATTGTATTTATCAACAATCACACTCTACATTGACTCTCAGTGGTGTACAATTAAGACAGAAGTACATATATAACAAAAAAAAAAAAATCCTTAACACTATCCAATTTTTTTTAATAAATTACTACAAACAAAATTCCTAGTGGATGTATTGATGACTGACCTTAAAGAAGTAAACTGTGAAACATCTTCCCTTAAATTTTTTTTCTTTTAAAAATATCTTTTTTTTAAGTGTGGTCTCCAGAACTGGCTATAGCTTTCCAAATAGGATCTGACTAAAGCTCTCTCTATATTTTATTTTATTTTATTTTATTTTATTTTATTTTATTTTATTTTATTTTATTATTTTATTTTATTTTATTTTATTTTATTTTATTTTATTTTATTTTATTTTATTTTATTTTTTATTATTTTATTTTATTTTATTATATTATTTTATTTTGTTTTGTTTTATTTTATTTTATTATATTCTTTTATTTTATTTTGTTTTCTTTTCTTTTCTTTTATTCTTTTCTTTTCTTTTCTTTTTTTCTTTTTTCTTTTCTTTTCTTTTCTTTTTTTTTCTTTTCTTTTCTTTTCTTTTCTTTTTTCTTTTCTTTTCTTTTTTTTTTCTTTTCTTTTCTTTTCTTTTCTTTTCTTTTCTTTTCTTTTTTTCTTTTCTTTTCTTTTCTTTCTAGTTTGTCAAGCATGTATGAGAAAACAAGTAAGAACATAACATATAAACATATAAGTATAAACAGGGACATAATAAATGAGTACGAAGAAATGGGAACAGAAGGACAGGGATGGTAAGCAGGCTGGTGCGCTAATGCACGCCCCCTTACAGATCTCCTAGGAATGGGGTGAGGTCCATGGTAGACAGTTTAAGGTTAAAGATTTGGAGGTTTGAGGATGAAACAGAGTCAGGTAGTGAGTTCCAGGCATTGACCGCTCTGTTGCTGAAGTCGTATTTTCTGCAATCGAGTTTGGAGCAGTTTACTTTGAGTTTGTATCTATTGTTCGCCTGTGTATTATTGCGGTTGAAGCTGAAGTAGTCATTGACAGGTAGAACATTGTAGTAGACAATTTTGTGTACTAAGCTTAGGTCAGACCATAGACGGCGTAGTTCTAGATTGTCCAGGTCCAAAAATTTCAAGCCTGGTGGCATAAGGTATTCTATTGCGAGCAGAAGAGTGGAGGACTCTTCTCGTGAAATACCTCTGGACTCGCTCAATTGTATTAATGTCTGTTATACAGTGTGGATTCCAGGCAGATGAACTGTATTCGAGAATTGGTCTGGCGAAGGTTTTGTATGCCCTGGTTTGCAATACAATGTTACCGGAGAAGAAACTTCTATATAATGGAATTAGAATCTACCTTTTTTCTGCTGTTGTTCCCTCCAGTGATACATCCATCTTTACTATTCAGCCCCAATCCTGGAAAATGCAAAGCAAAATACTACACACACACACACACACACACACACACACACACACACACACATGTAGCCCTCCAGGAACTGGAGATATTTATGCTACAAAATAATCACCGACTTGAAATTGGAAGCACTATTTCTTAATAAATGAGAAAGCCCCAATATCAAACGGCAGCTTTTAAAAATGGCTTATATCCAGAAGGAAATTGCTGGATTATGGTACCAGGAATCTCAAATGAGAAAATTATCAAGGGAAATATTCCCTCCCTCCAAATCTTAGTGATAGTTACATCCTCATAAATGAAGCCATAGTTTTAGGTATCAGATAGATGTAGTTGTAGATATTTAGATGTGGTTTGTTATAATTGGAAATTTGGCCTCTCTTTCATATTTACGTGGGTGCTGAAATTTCACTTCAAATAAAATAAACTTAGGCATCTCATTTAAGATGCTTCTTTCCGGAGCCTTTGTCACGAGAGGAAAACATTTCAAGCATCATGTGATTTAGCAGCACGGTCCAAAATTTGACAATAAATTAATGATGTACTTACACAAATTCATCCTGAAGTGCCCGAGAAGGATGTTGACTGAAGTCAATGGGATCTGAAAATGTAAACAATGCAGATATAATGCCAGCGATGTTGATGTCGCCAAGTTGATGATACGTGTGACGAATAGGAACAGGCTCCTGAAGGTCACATTGAAGGCTAGGATCCTTGCACACCACTTGAGGCATCACTATTAACAGCAACTCCATGAAAACTTCCATGAGTTTCTTCTTTCTGTGTACAGATGCCTCTGTCTGCCAGGAGATCTTTGAAGACCAACCTGTCTTCTTGAGATGTTTTTCAGACACAAATAGCGAGTGCAACATGCTATCAAATCAATTCACAGAGTTCTGGTGCTCTGAGCCATGGGATAGAATATCATGGGGATGATAAATAGCATCCTTCAGAGTCAGTTCCTCCTTTTTCCATGGGATCCCATAGGATCTGGAGGACAGAAACTGGCTCATTTGATAATGATGAGAGACAGTCACATATGTGATCATCTTCAAAATATGTAAGGGCCTCCTGAGGCAGGAAGGTTTGAGTCACAAGACAAAAAATAAAATCATTGTATCCATAAACGAAGATACACATGTAAATATAGTTCTATTCTATTCTATTCTATTCTATTCTGTTCTGTTCTGTTCTGTTCTGTTCTGTTCTGTTCTGTTCTGTTCTGTTCTGTTCTGTTCCGTTCCGCTCCGCTCCACTCCACTCTTCTCTTTCCTGTCCTGTCCTGTCCTGTCGTGTCCTGTCCTGTCCTGTCCTGTCCTGTCCTGTCGTGTCCTGTCCTGTCCTGTCCTGTCCTGTCCTGTCCTGTTCTACCCTACCCTACCCTACCCTACCCTACCCTACCCTACCCTACCCTACACTACACTACTCTAATCTACCCTACTCTACTCTATTCTTTCCTGTCCCGTCCCGTCCTGTCCTATCCTCTTCTATTATTAATTTCATTTCATTTCATTTCATTTCATTTCATTTCATTTCATTTCATTTCATTTCATTCTATTCTATTAATTTCATTCTATTCTATTTTCTAAATTCTATATTCTATTCTAATTTTCTACTCTACTCTACTCTACTCTACTCTACTCTACTCTACTCTACTCTACTCTACTCCACCTCTACTCTACTCTAGAATTCTCTAGTCTGGAATGTCTAGTCTAGTCTAATCTAATCTTCCCTTCTGGATTGTCCTGTCTAGTCTAATCTAATCTTCCCTTCTACTACACTATGCTACACTACTCCCTACCAGGGGTGAAATCTAAAAATTGTTACTACTGGTTCTGTGGGCGTAGCTTGGTGGTGGGGGGTAATGTGACTGGGTGGGCATGGCCAACTTTTTTTTTAAAGCATTTTAAGCACCTTAAAAGTTGCAGGAAAAAATGCTTTTAAAAGCCTCTGACGATCAGGCAACTCAGCTGGGATCACCAGAGGCTTTAAAAGGCATTTTTTTTTCCTACAAGATCTTCAGCCGAAGAGGTTGTAGAAAAAATGCTTTTAAAAGCCTCTGACGATCCCAGCCGAGCCGCACGATCATCAGAGGCTATTTTTTTTTTTTACTTTTAAAAGCATTTTTTTGGCCAAAGAGGTTGTAGAAAAAATGCTTTTAAAAGTAAAAAAAACAGCCTCTGATGATCTTGTGGCTCAGCTGGGCATGTGGGGGGGGGGCGGCACAGGGATTTTTGCTACCGGTTCTCCGAACCACCCGCCGCCATCACTACTGGATCAGGCGATCTGGTCCGAACCGGGAGCATTTCACCCCTGCTCCCTACTCTCCATTTTGCATTCCATTGCATTATTTTTTTTCATTTTTTCATAAGCTGATTTTGTATAAAAAAGAACACTGCTTGGGGGCCCCCGAAAGCCCTACTAAGCAGGTATATACAAAAATATGAAGGCTATTGCTTAACGCATTGTAAGCCGCCCTGAGTCTCTGAGAAGGACGGCATATAAATCGAACCAATAAATAAATATTATATGACACAGAAAAACACAGAAAAATTATATATGGCATACAATTAATACAGTATATCCACATATATTATATGACACAGAACACAGGTTCGGATGTATGCATGTACCAATTGTTGTATTAAAACTAGTATTTTCATTAGTTGAAACCATCAGTAAAATCTATGATATTTCTTCTTTTAGAAAGGAATTTTCCTGCGCATTACTGGAATGACAAATGTTCTTAAGGCACGTATTGTAAAAATAATGCATCCTTGTTTAATGCACGGTCAACAAGAAGAAGACCAACTGGATGAAGTTTATGAAACAGATATTATTAAAAACCATTCAAAACTAACTGGTTGGAACTGAAGAAGCCAATAATATCTCATCCCATGATGTTGGATAATCTCATCTAGTGCAACCATGTGACATCATTCTTAGGTTTCCTAGAGTGGCATTCTACCATCCCTTGGCTCTATATATTGTTAGAGCTATTGCTCCATGCTCCCCTCCACCTTTTCAAGCCTCTCACATCTCCCAACCCTCATAGGCGGACCCAGCCACGTGACCCATGATGTTGGATGATCTCCCCCAGTGCAACATCATTCTTGGTTTTCCTCCAGTGGCACTTTACCATCTTTTGGCCCTTTTCAACACCCTCACCTTCTCTGTACACCAAGAGGAGTTTCAGGACTCCCCACATCAGGAAAAGGTACCCACATGTGATCCTGTCCAGGGCCTTGCCTGCTTTCTGATTCCATTTGGGACAAACGCCTCCAAAGGAGGTTGTCCATTTGTGAGAAAAACCTCCACAGAGCCATACAGCAGAATCTCCAGGATATCTTCAAGCTCCTTCTGAAACCCAAGTTAGTTGTCAAGGATGAACTATTCAAATAGGTGAGCATTGAAAAATTTCAGAACCACCAGGGCACAGTCTGGCCATGACAGGGATAATGACAGATTCCCCCAGCAGATCATATTACTATTGGTCTGAAAAAATAATAATATCTGGAGTATGACTATTATCCCAAGTTGTGCCTTGGATGATGTGGGGTACATTCATGGTCATCTCATTGGGGTGAGATGGTTTCTCAGATCACCTAGTTGCAAATTCCAGGCAGATCTTTTGAATTTAGCCCGTTTTTCATAGGTAACCCCTACACATGTGTACACTAGAAAACTGCCAGTGTTTGCTTGTTTCAGAGAAAAAAAATCATAAGCTCTAACTTTTTAAATGAAAAGTTTGTTTGTATTTAACTCCACTTCTTTTTCACATTCTAGTGTGCATATGGATGAAGATGATCAGTCAAGACAAATTTACAATTCATATTTAATTATATATTTAGTCAGAGCTGTCTATCATACATGAACTATGTCCCTACATCAATTTATCCTTATGCTTTTATGGTCCCCATTTATAATTGCCTTCCAGAAGGGAAAAAATTTCTGATCTATCTTAAATCTCAGACAAAGGATGATCTTCTATATTGCCCATTGTCCTCTGGCTTAAACGTGCCAGTGGGGAAGATCTCCAACATCTACAGATAAAGGAAAAATGGAAATATTTGTTAAAACTTTCTCTTCATGAGCTGATGTTTATCATTCAGTTCAGGTCTCATCACAATAATAAAACACTTGGGAAGGAAGATGCATATCAATAATCCAGCACTGGAAGAGATCATGGAAAAGATCTCCACAGCCAACGTATATTTTCCCCTTGTGCTTAGATAGGTTGGGATAAAGCACAGCCAAACACTGCAGAAGACCAACATACTGAAGGTAATGAATTTGGCTTCATTGAAACTGTCAGGTAACTTCCTAGCTAGGAAAGCAGCAGAGAAGCTAACCAGAGCAAGAAAACCCATAAAGCCCAAAACACAGTAGAACATGACTGAGTCTTCATTGCACTCCAGGATGAGTTCTTCAGATATCGAGTGTGCGTCGAAATCTGGGTAAGGTGGGGACGTTATCAGCCACACAGCACAAACACACGTTTGAACAAGGGAGCAGGCTAGAAGAATGGAACTAATCATTCTTCCCCCCACCCATTTCCTCAATCTGGAACCAGGTTTGGTGGCCATGAATGCGAGAACCACCACAAAGGTTTTGGCCAAGACACAAGAAACCGCCACAGAAAAGATCACCCCAAAAGATGGCTGTCGAAGGAGACACACAATCGTATTGGGTCTCCCAAGAAATAGAAAGACACAAAGGAAAGAGAGGAGGAGGGAACCTAGGAGAAGATAAGTGAGATTCTGGTTGTTGGCTTTGACGATGGGAGTGTCTTTGTATTTCATGAAGATTGTGATGACCAAGGTTGTCATGAAGGAAAAGCAAAAGGAAAGAATGGTCAGACTGATCCCCAAGGGTTCTTCATAGGACAAAAATGTGATCCGCTTTGGAATGCACATATTTTTCTCAGGATTTGGATATTGATCTTCTGGACATGGAAAGCAGTCATCCCCATCTGGAAAAGAACACATCGATTGGAATTGATACAGTGGATTATAGACAGCATTGTATCCTCATGATTCAATCCCATTAGATTTGGAAATTTCCTACCCTTCTCCTTTGATATTTTCCCCTCTGGACACAGACGACAAGCATAGCAGCAAAATGACTTCCCTTCTATCTTTTCCTTGCTGTATCCTTTCTCACAGGGATCATTACACAGAGATAAAGGCAATGCCTATCAGTGAATGAAGAAGAATATTTTAAGATACAGAGGAAAAAGAAAGTGCATGGAGAGATATTATTACTGTGGAATTAACTGCATAAAAATGGATTGATGAGGACAAGAAATGTGATTACATCGTTTTGAGATGTAATTGGTCTGAAATAATAACTCATTAAATATCTACAATTATTGGTATCAATGACTTTCTATATTTATCAACCCCAGTTTCCAAAGATAATTTTTGTGCTGGTTAAAGATATTTTTTCTCAATTTCTTAATTTTGCAGTCACAAGACTGATGAAATTTAGTACACTGGATTGTAGTTCTTACTTTCGAACAATGCATTGTGTTCTGACCTAGGCTTCCCCAAAAAGCACAAAGCAGAATCCTGGTCCCAGCAAAACTTCTTTTATTAAAGAAACAGTAGGCTTCTGGTTTGGCTTCAGTTGTCGCTAGATGGTCTTTTGGGACAGCCAGCCCCGCCGCCCGTAAAGAGCCGCCTTTACAGCTGAGAGGCGGCTTGAAAAACTCTGTTTCTTTAAGGAAATGTGAGGAGAGCCGGCGAGAACAGGTAGAGCCCTCTGCAAAGTCCCCAGAGGTTTTTTTTTTACTCTTGGGGAGGAAGCAGGATGAGGCTCCCTATCCAGCTCGCCGCTGCTCCGGGCTTCAGGGGAACTCTGCGCCTTGCAGAGCTAGACCATGTGACCAACCTAATCAGCAAAAACTAACAGATTGCTTAAATAAGCAGGATGAAATCCGGATTTGGGACTCTAAATTGCAAGTATTTGTAACAACCCTATGACTGATTTTAAGAATGAAGAAAGAGTGAAAGGGAAAAAAAAAGTTTAAAATGGCGGCTAGCTTTAGAGGCTTGAGAAGAAAGCTGAAAGCGAAAGTCCTTCTGTCTGAATGGTTTAATATGCTACAAAGTATCTGAAGTAATAGCACTGGTTAGAAGAGAAGGGGAAAAATTTCTGCTTTATGCTTCTCCTTTTTTAGAGACTTGATATTGATATTGTGTGGAGAGAAGACTTTTTCTTTAAAAAGAGTTTGTTTGCATGGCAGTATGGCGTTAAAGCTGACAAAGTCAGACTACAAAGCTGTGGGGGGGGTGCTCCCCCATTTATAAATCACAAGAGCAATTCTTGAGCTTACAGATGCAGAAGAATGGTTTTAAAGACTTAAAGGAATTTGTTGTGAAGGCGTTGGCAAGACATGATGAGATTATGATCCAGAATTTTGAAAAATTTAGACAGGAAATTAAAGAGCTGGTTCAACAAAAGTATGATAACCTGAAGCAATATATTATAACAGCTTTGAAAGGTTTTTCAGAGGTATTGTACAGATGGATAAAAAATTGGAAGAAATCAATTTAGAAGTAGAGTCTAAAATGAAGGAAGCCTATTATAAGATTTATAATTTGGATAATAAAATGCAAAGAATTGAAAATGATTTGATAATGATTCAAGAAAATAGCTCAGAAGTAGAGCCAAAAATGAAGGAAGCTGATCACAAGACTTATAATGTAGATAATATAACGCAAAGGATTGAAAATGAAGTCACAATGATGCAATTCAGATCCATGGAATTTGCGATCAGACTGAGGGGAATAAAGGAAAATAGCAGAGAGGATTTGAGAAAGATGTCTGCTGAAGCTTTGGCTGTGATTTTAAAGGTCAGCTCTGAAGAGGTATTCTGTAAAATTGATAAGATCTACAGAATAAATTCTTGGGTGGCAAAGCAAAGGCAATTGCCTAGAGATGTGGTGATTTATTTTACTGATAAAGGAATAAGAAATGATATTGTGCAAAAGTCTTTTAACTCCACTCTAGAAGTGAATGGAATAAAGATCCGGATATATAAAGAGCTGCCGTCCAAGATGTTAAAAGACAGAAAGGATTTTGTATTTTTGGTGACTGAGCTAAAGAAACAAAACATCCCATTTAGGTGGGATGTTCCAATTGGTATAATATTGAGACATCAAGGAGAAAGATATCAATTAAACACTGTTGAAAAAGCGGAAGAATTTTACTACAAGGTTTTTAAAATGGGCCCAACGTCTCCACGTATGTCATCAGTGTCAGGAATACAGGAGGATGACAAAGAAAAACAAAATGAACAAGAGATTGCAGCTCAGGGTAAGCAGATGGAGATGGAGGTAATGGAAAAACAACAAGTTACAGAGGGCTTTTTGGATGAGCCGCTTTTGAATTCACCCTCAGAGGTTACAGTTGGATCACCTATAAATATAAGAGAGGCGGCTTTGGATCTTGATTTGATGTCTTATCAAGTTAAAGACCAGCATGTAATTCAACCAGTTAACATACAAGTTTTAGAAAAGCAACCATGGTGGAGATCTAAGCCACAACAAGTTAAGAAAAAAAGAAGCAGGTTCTACAAAACTCAAAAATTTTAAACTAAATTTTTTTTTTTACCAACAGACTAATGCCAGTTATTTAAGAGACGATTTAATATAATAAGCGGGATTTATAGAAGGCAGATACATGAAAACATAACGGAGGCAAATTACAGACTTATACTATTTTGAGAAGAATAACAGATCTCTGCAGTGCTGGTGTCTTTGGGATGTGGAAGATGGCCTGTGATTGAGCGGACTGGAACTTTCTATTATGGACTCTATGAAAGATGGACTATGCATATGTTGAGCTATAAGGCAAGAGAACTATGGAATAGGGGCATGCAGATGATCTGGCTGTTACCCTAACGTGGTTGTTGGAATTAAAAATCTAGACAAAAGACATCACAGAAGATACCATATGGAATATAAATATAAAGTCACTCGGGGGGGGGTTATATACAGAAATACTTATTAATGACAGGGGCAGATGGTAATTGAAGATACTAAATACACTGTTGGAAGCAGGATTTGATGTTACCCTAACATGGTCGATGGAATTAACAATCTAGTTGAAAGACATTACAGAAGATATTATATGGAATACAAATTTAAAGTCATTTGAGGATTTTATATATATATGGAAATATCTTTTAATGATACGGGCAGAAGAATAAAGATATTAAATATATTATGTATGGTAGACCTGTAGGAAAGTGGGTGAAACAAAATTGATATTGTACAAGGTGATAGGTTAGGTTACTGATTGTTTAGTTTAGGAAAAGGGATGTTATGTTTAGATATTAATATACTTAAAAGATTTGAATTAAGAGATATACGTATGGGGGTGAAGGAAATGGGTAGATTATGAGTAGAATAAATGCCAAATTAGGATCTATTATATAGTTTTATAGCCGAATGCTGTTTTGAAATGTATAGTATACGGGGGACATAAAAATAATTTTAGAAAGAAATGTTTAGCACATAGGGGGTGGTGTAAAAGGGTGGTAAAGTATTATATAATGTGGTATTAATTTGGATTTCATCCTGGAGAAGCCATGGGGGGAAGGGGAGGGGGAGGGGGGGTTAAGGAGGGGGGGAGGGGGAAAAATCTGTATTTGAAAAACTTTTTCAATAAAAAAAAAAGAAACAGTGAATTTCTCTCATTCACCTTCAGCAAAACCTTTCAAGGGAGAATTTACAGTCACCGACCTTATCTGGCTTGGAGAGCTGCCAGGCCGATATCTTCAGAACTTTGCATGGGAGTCTCGGAGAGTCACAAACCAATTAGGCGAACTAATTGTCTCTGCAAACTCCACTCCCCTTTTGCTTCCCTTTTATTCCCTCTGGGAGAGGCCATTCATCGTCCACCTGTGGCCTTACTCCCAAGTTGACCCTTGTTCTTTAGCTGTTCTCTTCGTCTGGCAACTCTGCACATGCGCATACTGGGAACAGGCTCCAGCTCTTCGTCTGCCTCACTGATGTCTGCCTCTGAAGGCAGATAACTAGCATCTGGTCAAATCTGCCTCTGATGCAGAGCACTCATCAGAGTCTTTTCCAGACTCCAGGACTGGCCCATGTTCCTCCTCAACTTCCTCACTGTCTGAATCTGCTGTCAGCTCCACTGGTGGGCCACAACACATTGTTAACAAAGGGCCAAAGTAATGAGTACAATATTCTATGCCAGGGATGTCAAACTCGATTTCATTGAGGGCCGTATCAGGGTTGTATTTACTTTGGGGGGGGAGAGTTTATTTCCAGGTGGGCATGGCTAGAGTGGGCATAGCCAGATTGATGTCACTCATTTCTGGGGCACCTATGGTGGCCTGGACGGTCTCCCCAGGCTCCTTTTTCAGCTGGGACAACCTCCTGCAGCAATCTGCCAGCAAAAATGGGCACGGCCCCCACGAGTTCCGTATTCACTGGCAGAGGGATGGTCCTTCACTGTTTCCACGGTGGCAGATGTAAGCACCTCACAGGCCTAATCTGGCCTGTAGGCCTTGAGTTAGACACCCCTTTTCTATGCCAACAATTAGAAAAGTAAACCTTCTTACAGATAATGTTTTGCTTCCCTAGAACATTGGTATTTGCTAGTTTAGAGAAGATGCTCTAAGATTTTCATCAATAAAGATATTTTTATCCTACATAAAGAAAGGCAGACCAGTGTACATTCAAACAGCTAACCTGATTAAATCCTACTGGCCAAATGATGGAATCTACAGAAATACTGAAGAACTTGTCTGCCGGAGCTGTGGGATCTATCATCCCAACTTTGATCCTAACAAAGGACTGGTTTGGGAATGTGACCCAGTTGATAATATCATATCCACCGATGAATTCTCCCTTTTCATTAAAGGAGACCTTCTCACCAACACTGTTGTTGAATCTGGCACTTCTCAGAAAAGAATGAACCTGAAAAACAGGGACAGCCAGAGAGGGACAAAGAGAGAGAAGGACAGAGAAGAGAGGAAAAATTCATATATTTCAAATGTATATATGGATGTTTCTTTAAACAAAGAAAATATTAAAACTATTTAATATTGTAGTTGTAGGCCAGTATCATACAAATAACATAACCATCATTGCAACAGAGAGACAGAAGTAGAATATCAGGTTACTGAAAAAAAAATTAAGATTAAGAATAGCAAAATAAGAAAACCAGCAAAAAAATTAATTAGCAATTAGTTGAATTGTTAAAGCAGCATAACTGGATGACGTCTGATAAATAAATCAGAAATACTAGGATGTATATAGCTATTAAAGTTGAATGGTAATCTTACTTATAAACAACCTTATACTTGCTGTAGCCATGCGAAAGTTTGATTTGAATTATTGTAGTTACAATTCAACAGACTAGAAGCAAGATAATAACAATATAAAACAAAATGTAATTGAAAAGGTTTATGTTTATCTATGTATATACCAGAGGTGGAGATTTGATAGTATCCTACCCCTGCCATGCCCACCAAGCCATGCCCACGAAGCCACACCCACAGAACAGGTAGTAAAAAAATTTGAAACCCACCATCTGTATATACACTCTCTCTCTCACACACAAGCAAATACACTTTCCAGTTACATTATGTTTTATCCTATTATTGTCTTATTGGCTAAAAGAATGGATAATTGTTAGACACAAGGGATTGTTATATCTAGAAGAACATGACCTGCAATTGGAATGGCATGCCTTCCTATGGTATGAAAAGAATAAAACTCCCAGATACTTTCAAAATCATTATATAAAAAACTCACTAATATCTGTATGGGAAAAAGTAAAACATATTGGAAAATTCCAGAATGGCTCTCAATGATGGAAGCCTTTACATAACCAAATCTGGTGAAGTTTGAAAAAATTGTGACATATAAAGACATTTTGAATTCTGAAGGGAAATTAAAATCAAAGCTAAAGCTTGAAGACCAGGACTTTAAATTATTATGATGGCCTCAATTACAAATACAATCTAGATATCTCCTCCCACTTATGATTGTATGACGGTAACCCTGTTGCTGGTATCCTTAAGATTTATATTGACTGTTTCCCTATGACTATCATTAAGTGTTGTACCTTATGATTCTTTTTTTTTATTTAAAAAGTTTTACAAATACATTTTCTCCCCAGTTTCCCCCCCAAACCCTTCCTGACCCTCCCTACCCCTCCCCTACCCCCATGACTTCCTCAACATATATTCCAAATCAAAATCACATTTTATAAAACTTGAACCTCTCCACCCCCTGTATATTATTCAAATCTTCATAAAATTCAATTATTCTATCCCTACATAATACATTCATTCAGCTAAAAGCTATGTGATATTTCCTAGTTTGATATTTATTCTGCACATAGTCTATCCACTTTTTCCACTCCCATACATAAGTCTCTTGAGTCCGATCTTTTAGATATGCTGAAATCTTCGCCATCTCTGCAAAACTGGCCATCTTCAAAGTCCATTCTTCAATAGTGGGCATAGCTTCATTTTTCCAATATTGACCTATCAATAATCTCGCTGCTGTTACCATATACAATATCAGCTTTGTTTCACCCAATGTAAAACCCTTAACTATACCCAATAAAAACAATTGTGGAGAAAACTGGATTTTTTTCTTCAAAACATTTTGCATAACCCACCAAATTTTTATCCAAAAAGCCTTCACTTTCTTACAAGTCCACCACATATGGTAATATGTGGCATCTAAGCAATCACATCTCCAGCATTTTGGTTGAACATTAGGATACATACACGATAATTTTTTAGGATCTAAGTGCCACCTATAAAACATTTTATAAAAATTTTCCCTCAAGTTCTGCGACTGTGTAAATTTAACATTCTGGACCGAATTTTTTCCCATGTTTCCAACATCACTGGTTCTGCAAAGTTTTGTGCCCACTTTATCATACAATCTTTAACCAATTCAGTTTCCGAGTCCCTTTCTAACAAAACATTATAGACCCTCTTAATATGCATTGTACCTTATGATTCTTGACGAATGTATCTTTTCTTTTATGTACAATGAGAGCGTATGCACCAAGACAAATTCCTTGTGTGTCTAATCACACTTGGCCAATAAAGAATTCTATTCTATTCTATCCTATTCTATATGATTTAGATGTGAAAAAGTATGACTTTTATAAAGGGCAAACACCCTTTGATCAAACACTGCTGAATTTCGATGAAAAACCCAATCAAAAGGATATATAACTTTTTACTAAATTTGAAAATGGAAAATGAACAAATAAAAGATACAAAAGTACAATGGGGAGAAATTTTTTGGCCATAATATAGAATTAGAGGAATGCCAAAATTTATGGGAAAGGAATTATTAAACTAACAATGGCAACTTCGTATAAAGAAAACTTATATAAAATGTTTTATAAATGGCACATACCACCAGCTAAGTTAGGTAAAATGTTCAAAAATATGTCCAGGAAATGTTGGAAATATAATAAAAAAACGGGCACATACTATCATATGTGGTGGACTTGTGGTAAAGCAATTTTTTTGGGGAAAAAATACATGAATCGCTAGAAAAGATGTTAGGAAAGCATGTAGATTTCAAACCTGAATTATTTTTATTAGGTATAATATTGGGTAAACTTGGTAAGAAAAGTATGTATTTAATATGCACATTTTGACAGCAGTGAGGATTATATTTTTGCCAGACTGGAAAAATGAAGAAACACCGTGTGATGAAGAAGTAATTAAGAAGATACTAGAGTATGCAGAAATGGACAGACTGACATTAAAAATTAAACAGAGAGAAGATACAGATTATTATCAAACATGGAATCTATTTTATCAGTGGTTGGAAAAAAGGGGTGGAGATTAAGAATGTAATATGTAATGTTAAGCAAACTAAATAACCAGACAACACGATGTTTATTAAGCACTAAGAAATGTAATTAATAAAAAATCAATTAAAAATATTTCAGTTGGTTAATCCATTACTACATCTTATTTTTACACCTATGGTCAATCCCCTAGAGAATATTGTTTGTTAGAGTTTATGGATAGATAGACCTATAGATATGGTTGTCCCACAGGTGCATTTCAAAGAGGCCACTGGAATTTCTTGTTTTTCTTGAAGAGGTTCTGCTTCTCATTCAAGAGCTTCTTCAGTTCTAAGTGAATGGTGGGGAATGGAAGGATTTATATTCCTTGAAGTCATCTGATCATTTGCACTCTTTCTGAGAGTCATTGAGGACACTCGGAGGTCTTCAAACAAAATAAAAAAAAGTCCAGTTGTTTCTTGAAAAAGCACCTTTGGGACAACCGTGACCTGGATGCCTGAGAAGCTCCATAGACACACAGATATGGTTGTCTCCGCACTTATCTGCTTACAGGACTTACCTGCCACCACAGTTGATTATGAAACTGTTTCCTTCCCTTTTTCAGTATTGTTCTGTGTTTGGACTTGGATAAATACAGAGATTGCAAAGCGTGTGCCACAGCATAGACTGCATTGTAAATATTATAACTCTGTCCACTGATGCGTGTTTCAAACACAGATGTAGGAAGAGTCCCAATCTTCTCCTGTCTGGTACAAGTTACCTCAGATGTCTCCGTTCTTGAGTTTGAGAAGAAACAATCAAATGCCTGTTCCCAGAAATCTTTCCGAAAATGATCGTGATGGTCATTGTTTGGACTTAGATTGTGAAGAAATTCCTGGAAATCCTGGACCTCTTTTGTGTGAACTGCAAAGGATAAAGCCCCATGTAGGAAATGGACGTCCAATGATTTATGAATTGACATTGAAGTGTAATCTATCTCAGCATTTATAACCCAGACCTTTTGCTTCTTTGGGATGTCCTCCACTTCTGAAAACTGGAGGAAAGTTCTCAAAGTTGATATGGTCTGAATTTTACCATATACTATTATTACATTGGCCTTGCTCTTCATGAGAACATGGTATATCTCTAGTCCTTCATCCATCACATCCATATAATCAATATAGAAATCAATGTTTGGTAACTCTGCTATGAACTCAGTGCAGATGCCATACTTGGAAAAAGTAGGGACCACTTTCTGGACAAATTTCTCTGCTTTCTCATCCTTGGCTACAAGAATCCCAACCCAGGTCCATCTTAAGTACTTCAATAGCTGCATGAGGCCCTTATGTTCATGGGATTCATCTGGAAACATTTGGTGGAAGAAAACTGCTTGAGTCTCTTTCTCCATGGCTGGAGCAGAACCATAGGTCAACTAACGGAAGACAAAGAGATGCAGATGGAAAGGTCTACGTTTTTCTTGCCATGCATATTTTGTCTTAGTTGTCTTTATTTAGAAATATCCACCCAGATGTCCCTCTACATCGTGAGGTTGACAAAAAGGAAAAGAAGAAGGTGTCAACCTATTCTCCAAAGCACCTGAAGGTGGGACAAGAAGCAATGGATGGAAACTAATCAAGAGAGAGAACCAAGTTAGAATAATTAATCAGACAAACTGCTTACCTTCACATGTTGTGGGTGCTCCATCACTGGAAGTTTTTAAGAAGAGATTGGACAACCATTGATGTGAAATGGTATAGGATTACCTGCTTGAGCAGAGGTTAGACTAGAAGATTTCCAAGGTCCCTTCCAACTCTCAGTTCAGTGGCTTGCATTGAGGAATGCTTTTCATTGCCCAATATCCCCACTATCTGTTCAATGTTATGAGTACTCATGCTGTTTTGGTAATCCTATCAAGCAAAAAATAATATCCTGGAATCTGAAAGTTGTCTCCGTTTTTAAGAGAAAGACGCATGCAGACCTCTGAATGAAATGGCAATATAACAATGAATATCTTCTGCACCTCTTACCTGAGGAACTTTGTAGATGCACAATACAGCTGCCATGTGAAGAGAGATATCTGGTCCCCCAATCACTGCAGCCAAACGTTCTGGGACCCCACACTTGTAGTTAGGGATGAATTTGCCATGAGTGAAAGGCAGAAGCATTGAGGCGAAGTAAGTCCAGCTTGGACTGAAATGGCTGTTAAAAATATGGAAGCCCAACGTGACATTGGGTAGGATCTGACAATGTTTATTGATCTCTTTTAGAGTAAACGCTAAAGCCAGGACATGCTGGTAATTCTGCAAATATATTCTGTAAAGAATAAAAAAATATATATTAAAAAATGTCTGCTTCACACCAGGGCACCTGCAGTCCTACAGCACAACACATTTTGTGGAATGTGTCCATATCTAGAAGCATTACAATCTGATGGCAGATAAAAGAGCTAGTGATATTTTGAGTCACCCTTTGAGTTATTCGTTTTTTTGTTAATTTATTCATTATTTTTATATTATTTCAATGTCTGTCAGATGATGGACATGTGTTTAGCCCAAGCATGTTCAAACTCAGTTAGTGATGATTGACCCGTTATCTTTGCTTGGAAGTTGATTCAAAGCTACTGGTACACTTTCTGTGAGGTAATATTTTCTAACATGACTTTTGAATTTCACTCCAGCCAGTAATTTTTGATTTTTGCTTAATATTGAAAACACTGCTTTCCAAATCTTATTCACACTCTTAATTTATTTAAAAGGTTCCATCATGTCCCCCATTTCCCTTCTGTCCTTCAGGCTGTATATAATCATAAGTTTATTTGTCAAGCATATATAAGATAATAGGTAAAAGTATAAACATAATTTGAATACATGAAAAGAGTAAGTAAAAAGGAATATTAGGACAGGGATGGTAGGCACGCTGGTGCACTTATGCACGCCCCTTACAGACCTCTTAGGAATGGGGTGAGGTCAACCGTAGACAGTTTAAGGTTAAAGTTTTGGGGGTTTGGGAAAGAAACTACAGAGTCGGGTAGTGCATTCCAGGCATTGACCACTCTGTTACCGAAGTCATATTCAGTTCCTCCAAATTCTCCTGATATGTTTTGTCCCTCAGACCCTGCATCATTTTTGTTACTCGTCTCTGGACTGACTCAATCTTATCAATATCTTTTTTTAAGTGAGGTGTCCAGAACTGGATATAGGATTCCAAATGGGATTATGACTAAAGCCCTATATAAGGGATTAGAATCCTTCCTGTTCTTGTTCCTTCAAGTGATGCATCCATCTTTATTATTTAGCCCAGATCCTGGAAAATGCAAGGCAAAATACTAGTGTGTGTGTGTGCGTGTTCACGCACACATATATATATCATTTTCATTTAACGACCACATCATCCATTGTGGGATGGATTCTGGGCAATTGAATGGAGCTAGCAGAGTGTTTTAATGGCTGGATGCAGAGTTTTGTTCAGCAGATATATTCTCAGTGTGCCCAGAGAGAGAAATATCGGCCTCTACCTAGGATCAAACACACAGCCTCCTGATTGTGAGACGAGAGCTCCACCTCATTTCTATTACAAAACAAACTCTGGCTTCAAATTGGAAGCATAGTTCTTAATAAATGGCCCAATATTAAACTGCAGCTTTTAAGAATGGCTTATATTCAGAAGGAATTTTGACAATAAATTGATGGTGTACTTACACAGCTCCCTCCTGAAGTGCCCGAGAAGGATGTTGACGGAAATCAATGGGATCTGAAAATGTAAACAATGCAGATATAATGCCAGCTATGTTGATGTCTCCAAGCTGATGATACGTGTGACGAATAGGAACAGGCTCCTGAAGGTCACAGTGAAGGCTAGGATCCTTGCACACCACTTGAGGCATCAATATTAACAGCAATTCCATGAAAACTGACACCTTCCATGAGTGTCTTTTTTCTGTGTCCAGAAGCCTCTGTCTGAGATGTTTTTCAGGCACAAATAGGGAGTTCAACATACTTTCAAGTCAACTCACAGAGTTTTGGGCCTCCCAGTCATAGGATGGGAATATTATGGGGATAAATATCCTTCAGAGGCAGCTCCTCCTTTTTCCATGGGATTCCCCTAGGATCTGGAGGAGAGAAACTGGCTAATTTCAAAATGATAATGAGACAGTCATATATGTGAACATCTTCAGTACATGTGAAGGCCTCTTGGGGCAGGAAGGCAGAAGAGAAAAATAAAACCATTATATCCCTAAATGAAGATACATATGTAAATGTAGGCATTGCTCTATAGATTTATTTATTTATTTATTTATTTATTTATTTTTTATTTATTTTATATACCGCCCTTCTCCCTGAGGACTCAGGGCGGTGCACAGCCAGAATTAAAAACATGAAATACAAATATTAAAAACAATTAAAATCTATATAAATTTGGCCCAAAATTTAAAAAACCACAAACCAATTAAACATTTAAAAATTTTAAAAAATTTCTTCCTAAGCCAGCTCAGATTGCTGGAAAAAGTGGGTTTTAAGGGCACGGCGGAAGGCACTGAGGTCTTGGATTCTCCTTATCTCTGGGGCAGCTGATTCCAGAAAGTAGGTGCCCCCACATAGAAGGCTCTCCCCCTGGAGGTCACCAGCCTACATTGTTTGGCTGATGGCACCCTGAGGAGGCCCTCTCTGTGGGAGCGCACAGGTCGGTGGGAGGTCGTCGGTAGCAGCAGGCAGTCTCGAAGATAGCTAGGCCCTATGCCATGGAGCGCTTTAAAGGTGATAACCAACACCTTGAAGCGCACCCGGAAGACCACCGGGAGCCAGTGCAGCTCGCGCAGGAGCGGTGTTAAATGGGAGCGCCATGCTGCTCCCATCACTACCCGCGCTGCTGCGTTCTGGACCAGCTGGAGCCTCCGGGTGCCCCTCAAGGGGAGCCCCATGTAGAGAGCATTGCAGTAGTCAAGGCGAGAGGTGACGAGGGCGTGAGTGACTGTGCACAGGGAATCCCGATCAAGAAAGGGCCGCAACTGGCGAATCAGGCGAACCTGATAAAAGGTCCCCCTGGTTACAGCCGTCAGATGTTCCTCCAAGGACAGCTGCATATCCAGGAGGACTCCCAGATTGCGAGCCCTTTCTGTGGGGGCCAAGGACTCGCCCCCAATAGTCAGTGATGGAGTCAACTGACTATATCAGGATGCCGGGAGCCACAGCCACTCAGTCTTGGAAGGGTTGAGCTTGAGCCTGTTCCTCCCCATCCAGATCCGCACAGCCTCCAGGCACTGAGACATCACTTCAAGGGCATCGTTGTGGTGGCCTGGGGTGGAGATGTACAGCTGGGTGTTATCAGCGTACTGATGGTATCTCACCCCGAAGCCACGGATGATCTCGCCCAGCGGCTTCACATAAATGTTGAACAGAAGGGGCGAGAGGACCGATCCTGTGGCACTCCACAGACGAGAGGCCTCGAGGTCGACCTCTGCCCCCCTGCCAACACAAACTGCGACCCGGTCGGAGAGAAAGGAGGAGAACCACCGCAATACGGTGCCTCCCACCCCCAACTCTTCCAGCCGGTGCAGCATGATACCATGGTCGATGGTATCAAAAGCCGCTGAGAGGTCTAACAGGACCAGAACAGAGGAGCAACCCCTGTCCCGAGCCCTCCAGAGATCCTCAACCAACGCGACCAATGCCGTTTCCGTGCTGTGCCCAGACCTGAAACCCGACTGGAACGGATCTAGATAAGAGGTTTCCTCCAGGAATTGTGGAAACTGTCACGCGACCACACTCTCAACAACCTTCGCCATAAAGCAAATGTTGGAGACAGGACGATAGTTGGCCAATATTGCCGGATCCAGGGACGGCTTCTTGAGGAGAGGCCTCACCACCGCCTCTTTCAAGGCAGCGGGGAAGTAACCCTCACTCAACGAAGCATTGATAACACCCTGGAGCCAGCCTCGTGTAACCTCCCGGGAAGCCAGTACCAACCAGGAGGGACACGGTCCAGTAAACATGTGGCCATACTAAGTCTCCCCAAAATCCTGTCCACATCATCGGGAGTCACAGCATCAAACTCCTCCCAGATAACATTCTCAAGACTATAGATTCTATTCTATTCTATTCTATTCTATTCTATTCTATTCTATCTATTCTATTCTATTCTATTCTACCCACAGAACCGATAGTAATTTTTTTTTAATTTCACCACTGCCCAGTCCTATTTAAAAAGAAAAAAGATGGAACTATGAGATTATGTGTAGATTTCAGGGAGATCAAAAGCATTTGCGTGCACAACCTATACCCCCTCCCCCTCATGAAGGACATGTTGTCCCACTTAGCCAAAGGCAAGTTCTTCACTAAACTAGACCTCAGAGAAGCATTTATCAAGTCCAAATCAGGGAGGGAGACAAATGGAAAACAGCCCTTGAACTGCCCCTAGGAAGCTTTCAATTCGGTTTTTGCGTTTCGCGGTTAAGTCATGACAACCAACACATCTTGGTTTCCATGACAACCAACAATCTTGACAAAA